TAAATAGTTTAAATAGTTAAATAATTAACTATCAGTTGATAAGAACGGGAAGAATCCAGAGTGTTAAAGGTCTTCGTACATATCGTTGGTTTTTAAAAAACACCTTTTTGTTTGGACTCTAGATGGCAGTATGAGAGGCCAGTGCTGAAATCTGCATCTCAAATCAATGGTTAGAACAGTCCCCCAAAGAAGTTTCTCCAGCTGGTTTCATTGTGGGACTATTAATATTAGGAAAGAGGTGGCTTTTCCTACAAGTATTATTCTCCTGCTCTAGCACATCTACATAACCTCTTCCTCACTGTTTTTATTTATTTATTTAAACATTTATTTTTTAGTTTTCGGTGGACACAACATCTTTATTTTATGTGGTGCTGAGGCTTGAACCCAGGGCCGCACGCGCACTACGGCTTGAGCAACATCCCAGCCTGACTGTTTTTATTTTTTAAGCGCTCAGAAATCTGTTTAGACTATCAACTCTTTTATAGGGGGAAAATTCATCCATACTAACCTTCAGCATGGCTAAATGCTGGGTCATGTGTTACTAAATCTGGTTTGTCACAGGCCTTAATAGACTTTCCTCATTCCTGCTCTGCTCTCACTTCCTTATTTTAAACTTCTGGTCGAGGGCCAAAGAGTCTCCTTTTAACTTTCTAAGTTGTTGCTACTCAAAATTTGGTCTGATCATTACCCTAAGTACATGCATAAAGACACGAATGGTGTGACTATACTTCGTGTATAACCAGAGATATGAAAAACTGTGTTCTATATGTGTAATATGAATTGCAATGCATTCTGCTGCCATATACAACAAATTAGAATAAAAAATATGGTCTGAAACCAGTGGCAAGTAGAATCAACTGGAGCCAATAAGAAAGGAATAATCACAGCTGCACCCTCCAGCCACTGAACCTCCTGCATTTTCTCTTTCACCTCTTCCTTCTTTCTCCTCCCACCCCGGGTTCCCTGCTGAAAATCAAATCTAGGGTCTTTAGCAAGCCAAGAACATACTATTTTACAGCCAGAATCTGCATTTTAAACCTGCATTTTAATCCCTAGATGGTTTGTATGTATGTTAGAAGTAAGAATTACTGCTAGAAATCCCTGATAAATGGAAATCCCTCCTTTCTGGCTTTCCTCTACTTATACCTAATAATAATAATAATAATAATAGTTACAATAATAACAGCTGGCACTTAGGAAGCATTTACTACATCTCATTCACTTTAGTATGTTTTGTGTGTGCATATATATATTGTGTGTGCATATATTTATTTAAAGTGTTTTGTGTATGCATATATATATATATATTATTTATTTATATATTTATTTATTTATTTTGAGATGAAGTAGAGTCTCACTATGTTGCCCAGCCTGGACTCAAACTGCTGGCTTCTGGTGATCCTCCCACATCAGCCTCCTGAATGGCTGTGACTATAGGTGCATACCATTGTGCCCAGCTTAAAGTGTTTTTTACATACTTGTTTGAGCCCCCAGTAGTTTTATGATATGGGTATTATTTTACAGGGAAGTAAGTAGCTGTGGTACATAGATGTTGATTAACAGTTAAACAATAGGTCAGAGAGCTGGGAGGTGGACTCTGGCTTAACCCCTTTATTATACTGTTTTTGTGGCTGCTGTTCTCTTTCTTGAGTGATTTAGTGGCAAGAAGATAGCTTTTTCAAGTCTGAAAGACCCAGGATCAAAGCCTACTTTAGACTCTTAGAAGTTCTGTGATATGGGGAAGGCCATTTATCCTGTTTTGAGCTTAGTTCTTCACATTTGATGCATAATAGACACTCTATAATAACTCACAGGTTTCTTTCTTCTTTTCCCACTCATAGAACTTTTATGAATTAAGTTCCTCTTTCTTTATGCACGTGGCCCAAGTTATTCCCCTAAACCATTCTTGCTCTTAAGGTTTAAAGCGTTTCTTCAAAACCTCATGCTTTAAATTTCCTCTTTTCTTCTTCTTCTTTTTTTTTTTTTTTTTTTTGGTATTAGGAATCCAGGGCCATGCAGATGCTAAGCACATAATTTACCACTGACCTATATCCCCAGCCCCCAGCCCTTCCTATTTTCTTTTTAAGCTTCACATATTTTGGTAATCTTTCTACATTGTCATTTTATCCTGTGCTCCCCATTAATTCTTTAATCTCCATTCTCTTAGTTATGTCTTCAGGAGTCATTTGATATCCCTCTTTCAGTTTATTTTAACCTTTAAGGCAGATCACAAGCCTGGCTACATATTTACTGCAGTTTTGTATTGGGAGCTGTTCTTTATTTCTAGAATATATATTCTGTGTGAAGCATATATGTTGGAAACTGAATACAATCACAGCTTTGGGGAAAAGGAGCTTAGACCCCAAAGTTTAATATTTAGACTTGGAAGTTTGACTGGATTTTGATTTACTGAAGCAGAACTTCTATAAGGCAGCTCAGCATACTCTCCAGTTCCATAAACTGTGAACTGTTCAAATCGAACTGATTGGAGTACAACTGTGGTGAAAATTGTGTTGCCTGGTCTTTGCACTTTTGCTAGTGAGAGTAGGAATGTGCTTGAGGTGAAAAGAAGTCAAGAAATGCATAGAAATGCATAGAAGCTAAACTCTCCATTCCAAATCAAATTTGATATATGAGAGTAGCAAACTTACTACCCTGTTTCTGATGGACTATTAATTTTCTAAAGGTAAATGGGATTGTTGTCTTCCAAGTGATTTTACAAGACATGTCACAGAAGTTCCTTCATATTTGGAAGGATTAAATTATTTCTAGTTTCCTGGTTTATATGTTTAGTGTAAGCAAAATTGTATTGCTGTAACAGAGACATTACATTCTAGATGGAGACAAGTAAAACTCATATTTTCACACTTTTTTTCTTTCTTTTTTCCCAGCTCGGGGTTGAGAGACCATGATATAATTGTCAGCATAAATGGGCAACCTGTTACAACCACAGCGGATGTCATAGAAGCTGTTAAGGACAATGATTCACTTTCCATCATTGTGCGTCGGGGAAGTCAAACCTTATTCTTGACAGTAACACCTGAAATAATCAATTAAGTTTCTTGCTTTAAAGAGGGATTATTTAACAAAACCTATATTACCCAAAGAAGTGCCCAAAATGGCAGGGGATTTTAGGATCTCTTTCTTATAAAGAAAAATGGATACTTTAAACACACACACACACACAGTCTGAGATCATTAGGTTGGGGGTGCTGTTCTGCTACAAAGGCTTCCTAAGCCAAGTGGAAGGTGGCTATTGTGCCAGGAAATCTGGGGAGCTAGTGGGAATGGTAGGAAACAACTAAAAATAGGCAGTTTCTAATAAACCTTGGTGCAGGGACACTTAAGTATTTTAAACTTTCATTATAGCCACAAACTAGATATAACAAACACAAACTTTACCAAATACGAAGAAACTGCCTGAATCCAGGCGTGAAAGTAATCACATATTTAATGACAGTCTTTTCTTTACTCAACCAATTTTCTAGGTTGTATCATATTTGGTCGTGGCTTATGGATAAAGGAGGGGCATTACTTAGAAGTCAAACTGAAACTGATTATGGCAGATTATCACACAGAATATTACTAATGACTCTCAAATTATCACTCTAGCAGTACAAATAACTTTGGTCTCCAGCAGCATTTCTGACTTTGAGAAGAGCTTCTTTTATGAAATAGCTTCTTCAATAATTTGCAGACTTAGTTTTTTATTCAAGTTCTTCCTTGCCATATTAATAATTTCTAGTCTTAGCATTGCAAATATTTGTAAAAGAAAAATAAAGTGTGAGATGAGGTAGGACATAAATCTTAAAGTGATATCTTCTTTTGGGTAATATTTTCAGATTTCCCTGAAAATGATTTTTTTTTTTTTTTTGGTGTGTGATGCTGAAGATTTAACCCAGGGATTCATGCATGCGAGGCAATTAAGCTAAACCCTGAGCCCAGAAATTATATTTTGAATATGGCATCCTTAAATTTTATGCAAAATTTTACATGTATCTGTGTTCTTTTGAGGATGGATCCAGTTTCTTCAAGATCCACAATTAAAAATTACTGCCTTAGGGTACAGAGATTATGAATTGAGGGTATGCCAATTATTACTATTGTAAGCAAAGTTAAGGCAGTGTGACACAGAACATTCAAGACAACAAAATAATCTGTTTTATACAATGGCCACCTTTGGTAATATAAGAACAGCGATCATATTAATCAGGATTAAGAAAACAGAAACTTTAGGAAAACTGCTACAAAATGAAGAAATTTCCAGGGAAGTTATTTTAACTGTGGTTCTTGGTCTTAAAGTCAGTTTATTATGAGAGTAAACTTTGAGTAGTTCTATCTTGATGGTTTCTAGAATTTGTAAGCTACTCTGAAGAGCAGGCACTTGCCCACACAGTTCTCCTTTTATTTTCTATTTAAATTGCAAAGGATGGGAACTGAGTTTTGAAAAAACCATTTGTAGGTCAGAGCATTTCTTTTATTCCTAGTGGCTTATGAATGCAAAAGCTTGACTGTATCTCTTTTTGACTGCTATAGCCTACTGTGAAAGCTTTTACTATCATGTTTATTTTGAGAGAATATGTTCAGATTTCCTTGTCTCCACAAATCATGTCCTAATTCTACCCTAGTGTTCAATATCCTTTAAGTAGGATTATGTTTTTCTTTTCAAGAGTGTATCTTATCTAACTGAAGCATTTTACAGTTACTTATGTGAAGTCTTTTTTATCAGTCTACAACAAGATTTCCTTAAACTGACAAAAATTAATTTCTTACATAGGGCAATTCTGCCAAAAAGAGCTCAACTCATACATGTCTGATACTGTTGGCTTTGAAAACATAATTAGAATGAAGAAATTACTGTACTGCATATACTGCTTCCAGAACATAATAATGGTACACAACAGGACTTATTCACTGGGTAATTAATTTCAGATGCTTAGCTTTCAGCAAAATAAAAATTTAAGTTTCACACTCTCTTCTGAAAATACTCATATAGCATGTCCATGTTGGCAAAATTTATTCTATATTTTAAATTCAGAAAGTACAGATTTCATTTGTGTATTAAGATCCATAGCCATTTCTACTTCTCCTCAAGATTTTCATTGGCTCAGCTTTGGATCTTCTCTACAAGAAGATTCAGGGTCACAAAAGGCACACAGATAAAAATATTCATTTTGCTCCTCCTGTTGGGTCCACCTGCTTCAAAGAACTGAAGACATAGCAACGTACAGAAATAAAGAGTAGAGAAAACCATCTGTAGTTCATAAGTTAGACACTATCCTTTATATTTTGTACATGAGGAAGGTACAAATTTGATTCCCACAATACTGCTTGTCATTTCTAGTCTGCAAGGTAAGATTTAAGGTTGAAAGTCCACAGAATCCTTCTTCACCAAACCCATTCCTTCCAAAGAGGGAAACTAATGTTCAGGTGTTATATCAAAGAAGAATTCTTGAGCCTGTAGAGATGAATTCAGAAGACAGAGCATTCACTTGATTCCCTGGGCAGTAACAGCAGCTCTTTTTAGTAAATAGTGCACCAGTTGCTGCCGTCACTTGGCATCAGCCCTCCGGTGATGAGCAAAATAAGGTCAACAAACCACCAAATCCCAAGTCCTCCAAGTGTCAGCAGCTTCCCAACCGCTGTGCCCGTGTGTCCCAAACAGAAACGATCTACTCCGAAACATCCCAGGAAGAAGGAGTAGAGTAAAGTTGTTATGAAGTAGTGGCCAGTGTACCTAGACACAAGGAATAAGAAGAAAGATGTTTTACTATGTGAAAGTTAAAATACTTAAAGATTAATGAATTTAACATAAAATGGTACAGAGTCCCTCTGTGGTCTTTTACCCTCTGATCTGATTTCTTTTCTGATGTGGTCAGGCTGGTATGGCCATAAAGGGAGACATGAAAGAGATTCAGAAAAAAAACAGCTATGATTCTCATAGGTCCTAGAGATAGGAGGCAATGGCCCACTATGCAGGGACACATGGGAGGGACACCAGGATTGTCAGAAGACAGGAGTTAATGCTAGGTTAAGGCCTCTTTTTTTGGAGTTTGTGCAGGAATGCCAAGGCAGGGTAGGACAGGCAGTTTAGGATGGGCTAGTTTGAACAATTTTAGTGCATTCCAAGCTACAGGATGGTCCCTCATTGCCTGACACCTGGCCCCGGAAAGATTAAAGGCAGGGAATAAATACTGCCTCTTCAGGGTGTTCAGGCCAGATACAGGAGTATGGCTGTAGATTGGTTAGTTTGTATATCAAGGACATGTTCCTTGTGTGGCCCATTTCTATCTCTAATTTACTAGCCTTGGGAGGAGCAGTCTCTTCCAACAAGATTTTTTTTTTTTTTTAAAGAAGTCAAAAACATCCTAATGAATAAAAAATTCAGTAAAAAATGTCTTACAATTCTCTTATCTCCCCCTACCAAAACTCAAGTACTTGCTCAGATACAGAGCACCTCTAAGAACAAATGTTAACTTTTGCAGAGTAGGATTGGACAAGAAATTATTAAACACATTTGCATGATAGATGTGATTGGTAGTACTGATTTTGGGGTCCCAACCTCCCCTCAACTGGCTCCTTTCCTTAGGCTCAGTTGACTTCCTTTGAGTGTCCTTTGCTAAGGGAGCACTGTCCTTCCTTGTCTCCATAAACCTTTCCTGCTTTTTTTGTCAGCTAAAAGTGAGGACTTCTGTAGGCTTCTGTCCTTATGTACTGTGAAGACATTTAACCAAAGTTGCTAATATTAACATAAACATAGCCACAGACTCTTTGCATTAGCTAGTGGTGTAAGTAAATTCTGTGCCTTCAAGCAGAATTTACAGAAATGACCCCAATCCTTTAACTTAAGATCAACTGATATTTAGAGAGAGGACTCCCAATCCCCACTTTTTATAAAAAACCCTTTATTCCATGAAATACTAAGGATTTTCACAGGATTTAAGCCTATCATGAGTTTTGGAGCTAGATCAGGTGGTTCAAATTCTTCATTCAGAGGATGAGGGAATAAACTCTTGAGTGCTCAGAGGCACTCAGCTGTTTAGTGAAAGAGATATTTAGAACTTACAACTTCTGGTCTCAATTCCAGTGTCCCCTACTTCTATAAGCAAAATGCTTCTGTCACAGAGTAATAGGATTCCCTATTTAAAACTTCAAAGAAAAAGTCAGACCAAAAAATGACAATAAAAATATAATTCTCCTTCCATCCAACCAAGTACCAACTACTTCATTCTTTTTTTTTTTTTTTTTTTTGGGCGGGGTGGGGGCATCTTTTACTGTTCATTTTGTGAATTCTAGAAAACCCATTTAATTTTCAAACCCATAATGAAACATTCAACTTCAAATGTATCTGGTACCTCAATTTCTGACAGAGTTTTACAAAGTGAATCATATGTCTTTTGTCTCTTCCCTCAAGGAGCAATTATGTTTTATGATTTTCTAGTCTGCTAAATCAGTTATTACATCTACCTGTTTATTCAAAAATTTTGTTTACAACTCTTGTTTGAGGTTTCTCTTGTCTAATTTTCTATATATTTTTAAAATGTTTTACAGACTTTGTTATAAACTTGTAATTTTACTAGGATTTTAAGAAAGAAAGATATACATATAAAATATTTTAGTTATCAAATGTATGTGGAAATTTTTACAAAAATAAGAGAAATCAAAACAACACAATTTTTTAAAATACAGATATTGCAAACAGCAAGCACATCTGTAAATTATTTTTCTGTGGAAGAATAATTTAATAGTGTAAATTTTTTTATTTACATGACAGAAGAATGCATTACAATTCTTATTACATATATAGAGCACAATTTTTCATATCTCTGGTTGTATACAAAGTATATTCACAACAATTTGTGTCTTCATACATGTACTTTGGTTAATAACGATCATCACATTCCACCATCATTTATAACCCCATGCCCCCTCCCTTCCCCTCCAACCCCTCTGCCCTATCTAGAGTTCGTTTATTCCTCCCATACTCCCTCTCCCTATCCTAATATGAATCAGCCTCCTTATATCAAAGAAAACATTCGGTATTTGTTTTTTGGGGATTGGCTAACTTCACTGAGCATTATCTTCTCTAACCCCATCCATTTACCTGCAAATGCCATGATTTTATTCTCTTTCATTGCTGAGTAATATTCCATTGTGTATATATGCCACATTTTTTTTTTTTTATCCATTCATCTATTGAAGGGCATCTAGGTTAGTTCCACTGTTTAGCTATTGTGAATTGTGCTGCTATAAACATTGATGTGGCTGTGTTCCTGTAGAATGCTGTTTTTAAGTCCTCTGGGTATAGACCGAGGAGAGGGATAGCTGGGTCAAATGGTGAGTGAATCAGGAGGCATCACTATACCAGACCTTAAACTACACTACAGAGCAATAGTAACAAAAACAGCGTGGTATTGGCACCAAAACAGACTGGTAGACCAATGTTACAGAATAGAGGACACAGAGACTAACCCACAAAATTACAATTATCTTATATTAGACAAAGGTGCCAAAAATATGCATTGGAGAAAAGATAGCCTCTTCAACAAATGGTGCTGGGAAAACTAGAAATCCATAAGCAACAAAATGAAATTAAACCCCTATCTCTCACCATGCATAAAACTCAACTCAAAATCGATCAAGGACTTAGGAATAAAACCAGAGACCCTGCGTCTAATAGAAGAAAAAGTAGGCCCTAATCTCCATCACGTGGGATTAGGCTCCAACTTCCTTAATAAGACTCCTTTGGCGCAAGAATTAAAATCAATAATTAAATGGGATGGACTCAAACTAAAAAGTTTCTTCTCAGCAAAAGAAATAATCTGTGAGATGAATAGAGAGCCTACATCTTGGAACCAACTACCCCATTCAAAATAACACTTTGTGCTGGGGTGTAGCTCAGTTGAAGAGGACATACTTAGCATGCTTGGGTTTAATCCCCAGGACCGCAAAAGAAAACAAATACTTACTTTATACAAGGCTTATTGTCCCGCAGGAAGGTCCTAGGACTGGCACACTCAATTCCATCTAGGGCCCGGCACTGGACTGAAGTATGCTCCACATCACTGTATGCCTGACCTCCAAACTATGGAATAGCAGCCAAAGCCAAAAGAAAAAAACAAACTCACCAAAACAAGTAATAGAAAAATATATCTTTTTTTTTCCATCAATAAAAATGCCTCAGTACTATAATTATTCTAACAAAGTTGGGGTAAAGCTGAATTCCATACTTAAAAGCATGTAACATATTTAAAATGATAGATTAGTYCATCCTAAATATACATTGTTCAAATAAACCTTTTTTTCCTCTCTCGATTGGCTTCAATAATGTAGTAAAAAATTACAATCAATTTAATTAAATGTCATTTAGGAGAAATGAACACAATACTTACAGGAAAAAGTACAAATCGGAGCATTGGAGAATAGGTATTAAAAATCATGTGTATTAGAGGTTTCTTTTATATCTACTGTAAATTAACAGAATTATAAAATAACTCAGAATATCATTTGACTTAGGACTTTATTTAGGTCACGAATGGGTGATTATCAGGTTTCTGCAGTCCAAATTCTAGTAAAAAATTTTGGAATGGGGCCTCTTTTTACTTAACTAAAAGCCAGCAGAGAAAGCATACCCGTATATTTTTTACTGGAACATTATTAGTGCTGTATACTATTTTTATTGGAGTGTTCCTCAAAGAGAAAATACTGGAAAAGAGGATGCTTGCCTTTCTGGTCTTATTCTTGTCAAGTTTATTCCTTTGTGTTTGATTTGGCACAAAAAGTTTTTTTTTCTTTTTCTTTTTGTGCTATAATAATCCTCTTAACATCTTTTTAAATCTTGCATTATATAATGTTGATTCCATGGTGTGGAAAAGATACATGAACTTTTTGAGAGACTGACTAAGAAATGTACATACACCCAGCTTTAGGGATATTATTAATGGATTTGATTGACTCTTTCCATTCTAAGCGGCTATTGTTACCAAAGACTTCCCCTAAAATACTTTTCATTTTTTTTTGGTACTGGAGACTGAACCCAAGGGTGATTTAGGGTCTTGCTAAATTGCTTAGGGCTTTGCTAAGTTGTTGAGACTGGCCTTGAAAATGCAATCTTCCTGCCTCAGCTTCCCCAGTCAGTGGGATTACACGTGCTATTGCACTCAGCTTCCCCATGAAATAATTTTTACTACCTATGAAAACATACTGATAAACCCTATCTATTTCCTAAGGACATGGTAGAACCTGTTTACCTGGTGAAAAGGAAGATTACTGGCAAGTGGTTTACCCCAAATGTGTGTGAAACAGAAACTACCCAATTCATCTTTGGTTTTAGAAAGTGCAAAACCTTTTTTTTTTTTTTTTCCTTCTCTTTCAGGAGAGAGCCTGCCTAGAAGGGTAGGTGACATTTAAGCTTCAAATCTGTCAATGGCCAAAGAAACCAGACAGGTCTTTGCACCTGGATGCTTTAGGTACTGAAACTGTTCCTTCCTGAAGAAACCAAATGTCATGTTCAGTCACTGACCTTAGCTTGCTGGAAATTTCCAGTAACAGCCATTTGGATGAACTTCTACAAAAATGTAACTTCATATATCCTTATATTTTTCCGTAACAATATTTAGTCAGTACTTTTTCTATAGGGAAGCATTTGCTAATACAACAAAACAAAAAGTCACCTTTAGACAACCATAACCAAGTTCCTGGGATGCGGTTGTATTTCCAACATGATCCACTGGGTCTTCACATTCTATAAATTCATCAGGTCTGCAAATCACCAGTAAGATCATGATCATAATCATTCCTTTTGCAAGTTGCTGTTTAGATGAATATAATCAAAATAAACATCAAACATTTATTTGTTAAGTTTTTTCGGGGGCTCACACTTTGTAGATAACTTTTCCAAGCCAAATGGTGGTGTCAATTAAATAGAAGCACAGCAGGTCACACTTGACAGCTACTCAAATGACCCTTTTATTGGGGAGGTGCTTCTGGTCCTGTTTTTACATGGATTCTACTTCTGCCATGGCTTCATCTCTTCCTTAGGCAAACAACCATAACGCACTGGGGCAAATAATAAGACAAAAGATGCTCAGGTCTCTTTGCATTTCCCAAACGTCTTACTTGCTCAAAAAGAAATATTAAAAATGGCTTGGTTCTGCAAATGGTAAGGATATTCTTTATATTTTTATTTTTAAGTGCCTTGTGCCTTATTTTTAAGTGTCATTTATTTCATTTGTACCTCATTCAGTACCAGTGGATTCTTCCTTGGCTAAAGGGTGTAGGAGGGAGAAGGCACAGCATGGAATACTTATGCTAGAGGCTATGTCACTCCTTCTTAGTACTACTCTTTCGGGATCTTAAAGGATCTATCTCCAATACACAAGGTTTTTCTCTGCACGAGTGAGATGAGTGAGGAACCTACCTTGATAATTACCTATCACTACTATCGGGTCTTCATCCGGAGAGGGTCTAATAAAAAAGGCAGCCTTTCCCTTCCCTCTACCTTCCCACATATCCCTGGCCCAGTCTCCACCTCCACCCGCCTCGACGACTGGGTAGCTTACAGGTAAGAGCAAAGGATGACTGGAGAGTGGGGGTCGCCATATTCCCAGGTTGGAGCACCCGCGGAGCCCTCTGGGTGGGTGGCACTAGCGGACGTGAGCTCGAGCTCGGCGGTAGCATTGTACGAGTGGCTCCGAGAAACACAGTGCAGCAGAAGTAGATTCCCCAACAGCAAAGCCGCCTGGCCGCACAGAAGTAAGTAGCTCACCGGGCAGCCACCCAGCACCATCTTCCTGGGCTCAGTGGTGGAGACACGGTCTCAACCACAAAACCCAGGCCGGCACCGCCGACCCTAGCCCGGTCTTGTCAGGCCTCTCCGCGTAACCTCCTTCCTCGCCGCCAAACGGCCAATGGGCGCGCAGCTCGATGCTCCACCCACCCCTTTAACCAATCAGAAGAGGCTGATTGGGGTGGGGCTTCGCATCAGCTTCCCAATTTCTCTTGTGGGTCTCACGCTCCTCCTCCTTTGGTTCCGGCTGCTTCGTCCAATCGGTTCCCTTGACCTCAAAAGTAGGCGTGCTCGGGCAGAGAGGGCGGGGCAGATAGTAACCGGGCGGCCGACTACTGAGGATTTCAGCGGCCAGTTTAGAAATCTCATTCTCCCGCCAGGGACTACATTTTTCCCTACGTCAGCGCTGCGAGAGCGATGTCGGGAGCGAGCTCGGACCAGGGGCTGAGTTGCGTCAGTGCCGCGCGCGTGCACGTCCCTGGGCGCGCGTACCCTGGCCAACCCTGGGGCCCCGGCAGGGTTGCAAAATGATGGAAGAGGCGGAGGCAGAGGCGACCGAGTGTTGAGTGGAACCTGCAGATTCTTTCGAGATGGGTTCGGGCGCGGGCTCGCCCTCTGGGACCCTCCGTTTCCAGTGGTTGCTGTTGTTTGGCCTAGTGGGCCCAGTTTTCGGTGGGGAGCGGCCAGGTGGGTGTCCGCCTCCACGCTCCTTTGGGATTGCTGTTTCCCAGGGCTGGGACGCTCGGAGTTAACCCGTGGTGCCCGGGAGTGGAGGGACCTGGGCCGGGACTGGATTCGGGGTCGGGAGGCGCCGACGCTGCACGTGTGTAGACCCTGCCAGACCCGAAGCTCGGGGTCTCGCGTCCCAAACCCTTCCAGGTATTGGTCTGAAGTCCGGTTCCACTTTTCTCCGTATCCTACTTCGAAGAGCCTTTTGCGCCRTACCCCACCCCCATCTCGAGCAAAGCCGGGTCTCCCAGGCACTCTCCAGACTGCTCTGGATCAGGGGCTGACCTCGGGGAAGTCCGCCGAGAACCCTGGAGACTGGGTGCGTGCCGAGGGTGTGTTCACGTTTAATATGCTTTGAGGAATGGAGCTTGCTTGCTCTTGCTTGTAGAGTTGATGTCACTTGGAAAGAGACTGGAAGGTGGAACTTTTGCTTCAGGTTATCATACTTTAAGCTTTTTGGCGTTCGTTTCTTTAGCAGAGTCATCCGTGTAGATCCACAGACCTAGAGGTAGTGATGGAATAAAGGAAAGGGGGCTCATTTTTCTTGGGCCATTTTTGCTTTTGAAGTAATACTTTTTTTTTTTTTTTGAAAAGAAGTGCTGCGTTTCTATAGCTATAGTCTTTTATCTGTGTTCAAACTAGGTTTGCCTTGTCTTAAATATGGGCAAATAACTCCTGCTGTGTTTAACTCCCAGGATTATTCTTACGAATTAAATCATTTATGTGAAATCATTTTTGAATTGTGAAGCTTCTCGTGAATGTGTAAAATATTTATATTGGAAAAGCCCAAGCATAGTGAAAAAACAAATCAAACACTCTAGTTTCTTTTTGGAAACATTTTATTGATTTTGGCTTTTGTATAAATTGTTTGCTGGCTGTATTTTCTCTGTCTGCGATTGGATATATAATGGAGAATGGGAGTTTTTCAAAATTGTTGCCTTGAGAGTTGTTCATAGGTAATTAATGATGGAAGATTTCAATGCAAGACTGCAGACCTTCAGCACGCTAATTGCTTGTTTTCTTATCTTTGGTTTTTTCTTTTTAAATTATGTCGTTTTGCCCAAGCATGGAAATCTTGAAGCTTAAAATACTGAAAATGTTTTGAATAGGATGTTGCCAAATCATTTCTGATTAAAAAAGACCACTCCCAGTGGTGGTGTAGGTGGCAATTATCTATCAATATTTAAGATGAAGCAGATTATACCTCTCGAGGTTTAGTGATCCCTGATTTTGTGTTTGTAAATATAAATCAGATGATATTTTTGGTTCATGTGTACATTTATTACATACCCACACTTAAATGAATGGAATATACTTAACTCTTTATCAATGTCTTATGACCAGCCTCTCACTGAAGCATAGATATACTCCCAAAATTTAGTCAACATTTATTGAACTTCCATAAATACCACCCTCAATTCTTGTGCAGAGGGTAAAGGGTGATCAAGTGTGCTAAGTGTATTTGAGGGATGTTGGAGGTTTTATGGAGAGAGTGATATTTGAATTGAGCTAAATGGGTAGATTTTTCAAGTGAAAGGGTAGGAGTGCATCCTAAGCAGATTTTTTTTTTTCAAAAGTATGAGGGTGGGGGATAGAGGAAAATGATGATAATTTCAATATGACTTTAGGTAGTCTATATGAAAGGGAAAGATTCAGGGTAAAACTAAGGTAGGCTGGTACCAGTGGAGGGGAGCCCTCTTTGCTGAGCTAAGGGGTTCAGACTTTACCCTGTAGGAAGTTCTTTGTTAATGAAAGTTTTTAATTAGGAGTGTGACAATCAGATTTTTGATTAAAAACTGACAACACAGTGGAGGATATAATCTGGGAAGGAGTGACTGGTAGACCAGTTAGGAGGCTTTGGCAAGGAGTGTAGTGAGTCAACTTGTGTTTCCCCAGGGGAATGTTCTTCCAAAATCAGCTGACTTAAGTTTTTGGAATACAGGATGTTTAAAACATGAACTGAAACATCTTCTGCTAATGAAAGAGAAAATTGAAGACTCAGTAAGTACAGCCCACACATTAGTTCAGGAGGCTTTGGTAGGATTTTTACTACAATTTATAACATTGTGTCAATGAGGATATGCAGTATAATTTCCAAACTGCTGATTTACAATATTTAAAACAGCAGCAACAACAGAAACAGGCTGACAGAGGTAACTCTGTATCACTGTGAAACATAACAAAGGGAATCTGGTATGATTTTGATTTTTCCCTGAAGGGAAATATGATGCACAGTCTTAGAAAATTTTCTTTTTTAAAACACTGGCATTATAAAGAAAGTGAGTTTGAAAGCTTATTCATGTTGAATTATTATAAAATGAAGTATATAGTAAGAATATAGGTTCATTTTAATCAAAATTTTAGATGCTAACAAATTATTTGAATTTGATTATTTGTATTTGTCTTAGTTATATAGGAATATGTAATCTTTCAAATTTAAAGATGGTTTCAAAATACTGAAAATGTTTTGAATAGGATGTTGCCAAATCTTTTCTGATTAAAAAAGAAAATATGTACACAACAAGTTGCTGGGTTTTAGGACAGTTAGCACTTTTAAATTTTACCTTATCAAATTTGATTTTATATTTGCTGTTTATTAAAAATCCTGGTTTATTATAAACTCCCTCAACAGATGGGAGATCTGGGTAACTAGGAGCTTTTTTGGATACCATCCACAAACTCGAACATATGACATGGATAACCTCATGATACTGCTTTTTTCTCTTTGATACCTCCTTCAGTATGTGTATAACCTAGAGCCTTGGAGTGATGCCAGTGTTTGAGTCAGTCTGATGAGACTACCTCATAAATGCATCTAGCCCTCCTGGTGTCATATCAACTAATCCCCTATTACCTTTGAATGGGTCCAATATGGATCCAGCCAAGGTTGAATTGCACCATGTTGTTTGTGTATTGAGAGATTATTTTCCACCAATATCATGTTTTCTATCAAAATATTTTCCATTTTGTGATAGAAAATAATCTGTTTTAGTCAGATCATTTTCCCAGGGTGATTATATATGGGACACTGCATGAGTCATGAATGAACCTGAGAAATTAACTTATTTTGGTCAGTTTTATTTATTTATTTATTTWTTTTTTTTAAAGAGAGAGTGAGAGGAGAGAGAGAATTTTTAATATTTATTTTTTAGTTCTTGGCAGACACAGTATCTTTGTTGGTATGTGGTGCTGAGGATCGAACCCGGGCCGCATGCATGCCAGACGAGCGCGCTACCGCTTGAGCCACATCCCCAGCCCATTTTGGTCAGTTTTAAACTATGCAGTTGTGTTAGAATTTAAATTTAGATAAGAATTAGGGCACTAAAGCTTATGATAAGTCAAGAAAATGGTATCACAGACTAACATGTTATAATGTATTCAAAACCCATGCCCAATTTTGAAGAACTCCCTTTGACACATTTTCTCTGAATGAGATTTTTCATGATTTAAGTCACTTTATTTTGATTTTCCCCCATCCTTTCCCTTTAGTAGCTCATTAGAACTCTCAGGCAAATGGACCCCTCAAGAGTCTGCCCTCATTGATAGCAGAATCCTGTTCTGAATACACGCTTGGCCTACTGCTCTCATGCCAGCTTAGAGAGCAATATATAGTAATGCTATTAAAATGACAGGTGTGTGAACTTTGTGCACTCATGGAAAAGTTGACATAAAAGATGTTAATCATAGAAAGTAAGACTTATTTTGGTTTGTATGTGATCATTATAACCAAGAGAACTACATATGCATAGACGTAAAGATCAGAAGAGGTTGTTAACTGAACATATATTTATTTTATTGAATGCTTTCTGTATGCATGAAGAAAATATATGATGACTAAGATATTGGCTTTGGTTTTAGGAACTTGAATTTCTTACTGGAATTTAAATTAATTCTTAAGAGCATTAAATCTTATAAATGGTTGGAATTTTGACAAGGGGCACTTCAAAACAAACAGCAACAAAATCATTTTCTTTTTAAATGTAAAGATTGGTAAATATAAAAAACTGTCAAAGCGTGTGAGAGTGTAGGATATAGCATTGGAAATCATAATTAAAAGTATGTTTGAGAGAGGTTATTAATGATACAGTATGCATTTACTTGGGATTGATCTTGTGAATAGAATGAAAACGTGTGGCCCCAAATAACAATGTTTTATGGATCTAATTATAATTTCTCTTAGAGAAATACTTTGAACAACAGAATTATCTCATTCAGCCTGAATGTGAGGCCCAGGTTTATTTTCCACAGTGAAAGTATGGAAAGGTAGCTATTTGTTTAGATAATGAGCAGGAAGGAAAGGGGAAGGTTCTGTGGTTTGGCTCTGACATTTATTTGATTTGCAGTTAGGTAGAATTCTTTTAACTTATTTCCTTCTACTACAGTTGTATTATTAAAAAAAAAATGCTTAGACTTCTTCCAAATTACAGTACATGAAAAGATCCAAGGAGTTAGAGAAAGAAAGAAGTGCAAATAACACTTTTTTCTTTTATTTACTAAGTGCAGGACTCTTAAATTTCATGTTTCGACTCTTATCTTCAGGCCATGATTCAAGTGATCTGATTTTTAGCCTATCAAATTCTAATATAATAGTTTGTATTCCCCAAAGAGATGAATGTATTGAGATTTTAACTTTCATTGTGAACTCTCTCTTGTTTTTGCCAGTAGTTGTTCACTAGAAGGCATGTGGGGGATTTTTAGTTGTTACAACAAGGGAGTGCTATTGGCATCTGGTTAATTGAGATCAGGGACGATACTAAACATCTTACATGGGATGACCCCTATTCCAGCCTAATATGTCCATGCTACTGAAATCAAAGTTTTATACAAATAATGTTAATGAGCTTTCTGTATAGTAATATAGGAAAAATACTATTCCCAAGAGAAGGAAAATATCCCCACCCCCCACAAAAAAAAATTGGGAAAAATTTGTGCACTAAGTAAACAGAAGAGAAGGAAAAAAGAAATTGGAATTAAAAATAGGAAAGGAATTTTGAAAAAAAATATAGGAGTAAGAATTTTAACACAATTAGTATGTATTATTTTTGAGTGGCATTTTCCAAACTTGTACATCTGTCATGATGTTTTTGAACTCTTTATGGCATAGCTTCAGAAAGTGGATTCTTGGGCTTTCAAAAGGACTCAGTATCAAAGTTAACAGCTCTTGCATACAGAAGTTTTTATGGTGGTATAATTTTGAAAGCCTTTTAAAAAATAAATGCCTAATTATGGCATTTTGGTTTTTAAATAAAGAAGGAAAGAAAGTTGTATCTTATATATGTATTTTAAAAATATTTTATTTAGTTGTAGATGGACATAATACCTAGGTTTATTTATTTATTTTTATATGGTGCTGAGGATTGAACCCAGTGCCTCACACGCGCTAGCTCTACTACTTAGTTATATATATTTTGGGACTGGGGATTAAACCCAGAGGCACTCAACCACTGAGCCACATCCTCAGCCCAATTTTGTATTTTATTAGAGACAGGGTCTCACTAAGTTGCTTAGCGCCTTGCCATTGTTGAGGCTGCCTTTGAACTCGCGATCCTCCTGCCTCAGACTCCCTAGCTGCTGGGATTACAGGCTATGCCACTGGGTCCGGCTGTATTCTCTCTCTCTCTCTCTGGCTCTCTCTCTCTTTCTCTCTCTCTCTCTATGTATAGATATAGATATCTTTATATATACATTATATATATATACAAGTATTTTAGTTATAGATGGACACATTACCTTTATTTTTTGTTTATTTATTTTTATATGGTGCTGAGGATTGAACCCAGTGCCTCACACATGCGAGGCAAGCCCTGTATCATATATTTTTATGTCTGTTTTTTATTCTTCTTTGCTGGCAATATGGGTAATAGGTCCATAGAAGACAGAAGACTTGATTTCTAATCCTGGCCTGAAAGTAGGTATATAGCCTTATTAAAAGTATTTTTAGGAATATGAAAAAACTGAAAGTTAATGAAAAATTTATTTTGGGGAGGAAATAGTCCCATATTTCAGGGTTTTTTTTTTAAGGATTATGGGTATTTTTGCTTAGTGATTTGTGTATATTCTTAAGGTCAAGGATTTCTTTTGACATGGTTCCCAACTGGCAGCTCCAAATATCTGTATGTATATATTTAAACATGACATGTCATAAATATGCCTTGAATCAGCCTATGGGTGCTTTTGTGAGTATTGTAGTCCATTTCTAGTATTTTTAATGTAATGATGTGAAGCCATATTTAAATAGTATAATAGGGTTTGATGGGTAAAGAGTTTGAAAACTGTTAGTATGACATGTATTGTATATAACATAATTTAATTTTCCTGTTTGTATCTTTTAAATCCCAGATCAAGCCAAGAGCCCATAGTATTGCTAAGGTTCATTTGATATTACCTCCATGTAAATTTGCTAATCAGCCAGGCAAGGTTATAAAYATTTTTATATACAGTGTTATCTTGGGAAAAGTTAGATGTAAATACTTCAGCTTCATCTGTACTTGAGAAATCTGAGGGGCATAAGCATTAAAGAGGGAATGAACATGAAGATTATCTTGAAAGAGGATAGCGTGGGCATGGGGAGCCCAGGTGTAAAAAAGTATCCTGTACTCTAGATGTGAAGTTACTAGGCTGATGGAGGCCTAGGGATATGGCTGGGTGGAGAGTGCTTACCTGTTATGTTTTGAGTCCCTGGGTTTGATCCCTAGCATTACCTAAACCAAACCAAACTAAAACAAATGGGAATGGAAAGGAAGGACCATTGAAAAGAGATGCTAGATAATCAGTACTTTTAAAGGAATTTATGTATTTTTATTGAAGATATGTTTTTTGTTTTCCTTTTAAGTTTAAAAGTAATACAGTAGTGGCAAAATTTATATCTTTGTAAAAACAAGTTTGAATTATACAGAAATACAAAAGTGTAGGAAATGTACTTTTTTCTCGTTACTTGCTAGTTCTACTACATTATGGTAATGACTTTAAATAGTTGGTCCATTTACATGTTTACTTATGACATTTTATAGTCATACTTCATTTTATATGACTTAATTATAGTGTTTCATAGTTACTGTAATATAGGATTGTATAAAGTAAGAAGTAAAAGGCCCTTATCCCATGCCCTATAGGTAATCACTTAAAATTTATTTTATTATAAAAGTTTTTAAACATACACAAGAAAAAGGAGAATAGTAATGAACTCCTATGTGCCCATAATCCAGCTTTAATCTTATGTGTATTGATTTCCTCAAACATACTACATCATTTTTAATGCATACCTTAGACATCATGTTATTTTGTCACTGAATGTTCAGAATGAATCTTTAAGACAGGACATAAATCCTTACTCACAAGGTGCTTATTACACTGAAAAATTGATAATAATTCTTCAAGATCATCTGATAGCTATTCTGTCAACATTTCCAAGATTATCTCACATATTTTTCAGTTGATTTATTTTTACTAAGATCTGACAGATCCATATACTACATTTGGTTATAAAGGCTTTTTTAATTTATGAAAGTCCCATCTTTCCCCCTCTTGTAGGAGAAACTGAGTGGAAGATGTGACTCTGGTCTTCCCCCAGTCTTTAAGATTCTGCATGTTTTCTGGTGGATAGGGCTACATAGAGAGATTTTTCATCTGTGGTCCTTAGATGGTGACCAAATATTTCATCAAGTTCACTGAAAGAATTGTTATGCCACTGCTAATGATGCTGGAAGAAAAGAGATTGTGTTGAACTTATCAAGAGACTGTAGGTTGGAATCCTCTATGTGGGCAGTTTTCATTATACTCAGTTTTTTACTAAATTGATGAGTTTAGAATCCAAATCCTGCTTAAGATGTGATTTTCATCTGTGATAGAACTAAACAGGATTGGAATTGAAAGTGTCTACATGACTGTTTTGAGTTCTTAACAGTTAATATATTTGGTGTCAAGTTTTTGTTTTATGAGGGATTAGGGCAGTCATTTTATTTGAGATAGTTGCTACATTGTTGATTATGTATTTATTGAGAGTTAACCCATTAAATGCTGGAAGTAACTTTTCCTTCTTATCATGCCTTCCATTTAGTAAGTATTTAGTAGCTACCATCCCAGAGGATGCCATTTATGCTGGATAAAATGGGAAATGGAAGATAAATAAATGGAACTAAATTCTAGGATGCTCCCTTCCCATTACCCCACTAAAGAAGTCTTTTCTTCTTCTTCCTCTCTGTTGACTCCCATTCTCCCTGTCTCTCTCTCTTGTTTTTATAATTGAAGATTTCTTTTGAGAAAAGATTTATGGTATATAGCTAAAAATGTTTGAAAATGATTGCTACACATATAATGTTTGGAAAAAGGTTAACATCCTTTTAAACAAAATATTTCCCTTCATACTTATCTAGTACATTGCTATTTAAGGAGAAACTATTTTGGGGAAAAAAATATATATATATTTTTGGTGGTGCTGGGGATTGAACTCAGGGCTTTGTACATGGGAGGCAAGCACTCTACCAACTGAGCTATATCCCTTTGATTATATTTTAATATGAGAATGTCATATAATTTTTCAGTGATTTGAAATTCATCTTTTGATTGCCATTATATTTTGTTACCATGTGGTTTTTCAGGTTACCTTTGTTATATTTGTTATTCCCTTTTTGATAGGCTTTCGACAGACCTCACATCTTTCTTCTTATGAAATTATAACTCCTTGGAGATTAACTAGAGAACGAAGAGAAGCTCCTAGGCCCTATTCAAAACAGGTACATTATTTCCTGAGAAATCTGTATATGTTAAGATTTTGCTTTGTTTCCTTTTTTTAACCAAAGGTGATATTTCTAAAGTGATTGGTCCAGAGAGTAATTAATTGGTCATTAATTAGTACTGCAGTGTGTGGTACTGATGTCCATCAAACAACATTTTTGTGAAAGTGACGTATCAAGTCTTAGTATATATAGTTAAAGACAAAATGATCAACTCAAAACATAACAGAATGAAAAAAATAGAATTCTATGACCAGATTAGGATGCTGACTATATAGATTTCTAACCCTTAAATACTGTTACCACTGCCATTCAGTTTAAGGATTAGAAATCTATATAGTCAGCATCCTAACTGGTCATAGAATTGAACCCATATATGTATATATGAATTAACCTCACTTAATTTGTAATAGGCAGAATATTGCATACTGTATCTTCACTGGAGAATAGTAATGTATTTTTCATTTCCAGGGATATTTAGTAAACAATGAGTTTTATTTCCATATTGGAGGAAAACTATTGTGCTGTTAATGTGGTAACCAATGCACAAAAATTATTTTTTTCTGTTATATTCTTATTACAGAGTTTGTTCAGAAATAATATTTATTCTTCAACTGTATAGAAGTTTTATATAACTTCATTATAATTTTACTCCAACAGATAATAAAGGATTCAATATAGCTTATTACTTCTGAATTTCTGTTACACTCACAGCTGTAAAGCAGTTTGCATGTTGTTTAGAGACTGGGCATAGTAAAAAAAACACTGGAGTTCAAAATCAAGAGCTTTTAGTTTTAATCCTTCCTCTGGGTACTACCATTAGTTGGGTTGATCATTCAACCCCATTCATTTACTGTTCTATAAGTGAGTACTAAGTGACTTTAAGATCTCCCTTGAGTAGAACAGTTTATAATTTTCTCTTGTTTTTGGTCTGAACTGTATACTCTATGTTTTGATTTTGTTTTTTCTTATAATAGAATTATACCCTGCTTACTTAGTTGTTTTTCTCCTTGTTTTCACTAGATTATAGACTTTTTACCACAGGGACTATGTTTTCTCCTCTATTGTGTCTCTGATGGCATCTTCATCAGTACTCCACTTGGCTGTGATTGTAATAATGATAGTGATGTTTTACACTCTACCACTGGCCAAGAACAGAAAGAATAGAAAGGCACATGTCAAAACTGTGGGGAGAGGAGCTTGATATTTTTGATGTCTCTGTGGAGATTGAGGTAGACAACAGAGTTCTCAGATTGCCATGTAGGAAGAATAGTGCCAGGATCCAGAAGTTGGTCTAGTTCTTGGAAGTCACCGGTTGATGTGAAGGGTTCATGCTATTTCCTGGCAAAATGTTAACTTAGAGCTGGAAACATGTAGAGAAAATTAAATAGATGCTTCTGATAAAATTATTTGTTGAGTCCTTTTATGACTGTCATTTTTATTAAAGAGTAAGGCAAAGTTGTAGAGGTCACATTGAGCACTTTTGGCTAATGCAAGGTGAGTTTCTGGGTGTGTTAGCTTTCCATCACTATAATAAAACACTTGAGGTAACTTATAAAGGGTTAAAGTTTTATTTTGGCTCATAGTTTTTGAGGTTCTAGTCCTTCACTGGTTAGTTAGCCCCATGGCTTTGGGCCTGTGGTGAGGCAGCATGGCAGGAGCACATACTGATGCAAAACAGGGAGCAAAGAGAAAGAGGAAGAGCACAGGGTTTCACAGTCCCTTTCAAATGCATACCTCCAGTCCCTTAAGACCTTCTTCAAGACCTCACCTTCTAAGGGCCATAACATACCCCAGTAGTGCTGCCCTTGGCACCAAACCTTTACACATGCACCTTTGGGGGGGGGGCATTAAATATGCAAACTATAGCACTAGGGAAGTTGTTTCCTRGATGTTTGTGGTTGATAGGAGGATCCCAGGAGCTTGAAGATGTGGAAGTGGAAGGTTCCTTATCTTAATTCATTGACTCTAAGAAGACTTTAATTGTAAGACATGGCTATATTATTTTGTGTTCCACTAATAAAGACGCAGAAATGTTGCCATTTAGACAGCTGTGACTTTTTATGATGGATTCTCATTCTAGAGGGCAAGTATGTTTTAGAATGATGAAATTAGGTAAGCCATGTAGAGATTTAGTCATAAAAATCTGCATTTCTTTTCAACTTTGAATAATTAAAACTAGGGATAATCTCTTGAACCCAAGAAGTTTATTTCATTTAAACAAAAGGAAGAATTACTTTGTACTGTAGATAATTTATAGATGGATTTAATCCCTGAAGTTATACATGAATTATAAATGAATTTAAGAGAAATTTAGATAAATGTGGGTGTGATTTTCCACAGTCAGTTATTAAAGGGAAGTAGGGATGATCAGATTACATTTTTATTATTTTAGAATAGATATGAAGTTCTATAAATCAAATGCAATTGTACCAAATTATTTTAATTCAGGAGGGACTTTCCTGTGTCTTATAAATGATGTTTTGTTTAAAAGTAATTTATAAGGTGGTGCTTATTATTTATTTTCCTCCTTCTCTGTGCATTTAGGTATCTTACGTCATTCAGACTCAAGGAAAAGAGCACATTATTCACTTGGAAAGGAACACGTAAGAAATTTAAATTACTTTGACTTTTAAATAATGATTTCTTCTGTAGTATATTAATTTCATTTCCAGGTAGATGTTGTTTAGTAGATACTGAACCTGGTTTTGGTAGATTTAGCCACTTAGGTCACTGCTACACAGTGGTTGGCCTGCTTCTGAAGAAGCACAGGAATTTGTGCTCCTGCTGGGCACTGTGACTTCCAAGAGGAAAGAAGGCTAAGCAAAGTCAAGAATCTTCAATTTGTTGTTTGAAATTCACCACTAGAGGCAGAAGGGGGAAGTGGGGAGAAGGAGAGACTTGAGATGACTGAACAGGGACTGTTTATTGAGAGGACTCAAGATTCTATAGGCTCCTTCCAAGTCCACTCACACAGACTTCAGTAAAGGCCAAGGAGTAGTACACCAGGATGAAGAAAGCTCGCAGTCTGTGAGGAGTGTGAAAACTTGCAGGCATGGCCCCTCTGTGTCCTTTCTCAGTTGCAGGGATATGCTTTGTCTTCAGATTTCCAGCCACTTTAATGTGTGTGACAGCCTAGCACAGGTTTACTGAAAGGGTCTTTATATGCTACGTTAGTCATGTAGCTAAGGTTAGGCTTTGTAGCTGATTAAACCGGTTGAAAACCATCAGTTTATCCATGTCTAACCACAATAGATGAGTTGGTTCTAGGTATCTCCAGGAGAGTTTTGAATTTATTTAGCTTAATTATTTATGTGTTTTTGAGATAGGTTCTCTCTAAGGTGCCCAAGCTGGCCTTGAACTCCTGATCCTTCTGCCATAGTCTCCTGAGTAGCTGGAATTACTGGTGTGCACCATTTAGTCAGGCTTAAGAGTTCTTCATTTTTCTGCAGCTACATCTCTAACCTGAGTTTTGAATTTGAAATGGCACATTATAAATTGTTTTGTTGCACACTGCATCCTGACTTGTCTATAAGGCCTGGGGATAAGCGTATAACTACTCTGGCCCTGCTGGAAAGAACTCTATCCTTACACATGTGGTTTTACTACTGAGCTTCCTTAACATGGAAAGAAGCTTTGAGAATTAGAAATAACTGTTTCCTCCAACAACTGACTACAGAATTTTTCAATCATGCTTAGGAGGTTAAGACAATGAATGATTCTTGCTTATAAATAGAACTTAAAAATTCTTTTTTTTTTTTTAGTTGTAGTTGGACACAATAACTTTATTTATTTATTTATTTTATGTGGTGCCGAGAATCAAACCCAGCCCCTCACACATGCTAGGCAAGGTCTACCGCTCAGCCACAACCCCAGTCTTATATATAAAACTTTTAAAAGAGAGTATAAAAACATTTATTTTCTCCTACAAATATGATGTAAGTTATTCTTTTCCTGTGAGTTGTATCAGAAAATTTTAAGGACTTTTTAAAATATTTTGTTTATTTTTTGCAACCAGAATTTCATGCCAATAGAACAAATTGTAGCTTAACATTACTTTTGTGTAAGTAACACATACTATTTTAGATGCAAGTCTGTTTATGACCTTTTAGTTTTATGGTAGTACATTTCAGGTAAATTTTTTAAATTTATTTTTGCTCCTCTCTTCTGAGTGTAATGCTTTATCAGTTTGTTCTTAGTTGTTGATAGTTAAGTAAACTTAAATGGTGTGTTTTACTCTTTTTCCAGAGACCTTTTGCCTAAAGATTTTGTAGTTTATTCCTACAATGAGGAAGGGACTCTGATCTCTGACTATCCCAATGTACAGGTAATATATTTTTCTCTTGATCCTATAGTAAAATTTAAAAATAATTATAATTTAAAATTGAGTTCTGGAGAAGTAATTGTCACTTCCCACAACCCCATGGGGACACTTTTAATATTATAATAGATGCATGGCCTGGAGGAGATGGGCACATTTATATAGACTAAAGGACTTGACAGCCCTCCAGGTTCTTTGTTAAGATTTTTTGTTTTAAAGGCAGGAAAAGAATATATTTAATGGAAATTCTTACTTATTATGAAGGGGAAAAGTTTGATGTTTTAAAAATATAAGTTTTTTATTTTGTTGAAAGTCATTAAAAGCAGGTTTCATTCTCTTATTAGACCATTTATTCATCATTAGTGTTTAGTAAAGAAAAACGTTTGTTTGTTGTTATATATTATATACATTATATATTTAATAATGTTTAGGTAGATGTGAAATGTGAATTAAAACTTTGATACTTTAAAAAATTTCTGTGTGGTTAGTTTGTTGTCATATTCAAATGTTCAATTATTATTATTATGCTATTATTCAAAAGAGGTGTGGTTCTCTCTGCGTCATATTAGAATACTCTTGGGGACAGTACTGGCCAGGAATACTCAAAATAATTGGCAGATGTTGAACTTGGCTTTGTGTGATTTTTACTTAAAGCATAAACATTTTTAGTTTGGTTCAGGAAATGTTTTACAGTCCTTTTTTGGTGACTATGTATTTTTTCTTTTGCAGTAATTTTCATGAGACGTCATTATTTCCTTTAAACATATTATTATTCCCCTGAACTTTGTAATGCTTCGATGATTGTTTATGTTAGACACTTTTGAAGCATTCTTCAAATAAATAGAAGGCAAAAATCTTTATTATAGATTAATTATTAGTACTTAAAAAATGAGGAAATGCTGACTTTGCCCTATCCTTTTTTGTTTCACTATTTGATTGCTTTATCTTAGTGCATTACTGGTCTATTTATTAGAAAATTAGTAGAGGAGATTAGATTTACATTATAGCATAAACCAGATAAAAAATAATCCAACCATTTTTTCATCCATCTGAAGATTACTATGGCAGGAGGCCAAAGACCACATAATTTATGCACTTTAGCAAAAGCAATAATCTTAAAAGGCACTTTTTTTTTCTTGTAAGGGTTGCTTGGCATACTTGCTTGAGATATACACTGATTGGATTTGAATTCTGGCTCTGTCACTTCCTGATGAAGTTAATGTCATCAATTTAAATGGAATGCAGTTTCTATTTCATAGAATTATTAGGATGCTTGAATGAGTAAGATGAGTAAGATATTTGTAAGATGCTTAGAAAAGGCAGTCTGACATTTTTTAGCTCAAATATAGTTATTATTGAAAGAATATGTACTTAAAACTTTTAAAAATAGATTTCAACTATATAGAAACTTACATAAGTTATATTAAAGTTTTATAGAATTGATAATTTCCTGGGTTTTTGAAAAATATCGATTAAGACAACATGGAGTCTTTTACTTATTTCTTGGTTATTTATAATGTTTAGGTAAATGTGAAATATGAATTAAAACTTTGATACTGGGTTTTTAAAAAAAATTTCAGTGTGGCTAGATTGTCAAATATTATAATGACATATACTTTGCCCATACAATGCAGTTAAAGTTATATTGAGAACATGTACATGCTTTCCTTTACAATTCTGTTGCTTAAGATTGAAATAATTTGTAAAGCTTTTTTTCTAGTTTTCATCATTAATGTCCTTCAGAAGACCATTTCTTATAAGAACAAAAGTTTTAGAAAAGTCACTCAAAATGAGTTGCTGTGTGAAGTGTAAAATTCCCTGTTACTGTGTCTTGGGACTTTGGGGTATCTTGTAAAAAAACCTGTAAATTCTGTTGACTATTTCCCCCAGTTAATTGATGCTCTTTATTTCCTTTGAAGATCCATCCATTGCCCTAGGCTCCGTGGACCTTTACCAGGCTGTTTTTCAATAGTTCTGTGTACCTCTAGCTAACTTTTGCACTTGTAGTTTGTGTGTTTCAAAATTGTCTGTGCTACTTGTACCTTTATTGTTATTTTTCAATTTAATTAGATGTTTTGTAAACTTACAAAGTATATATGTGCTTCTGAGAACTGTAAGAGCTAATGGAAATTTCCCCTCTGCCCTATGAAGGTTTGCTGGGATATTTTAACAGACAAAGACATTACACAGTTTGAGAAAAGGCATGCAAATATACAAAAGGAAAAGTCACAGCACAGAAGAAAATCACAGGCACATGATTACCCACTAACCCAACATAATTTAAAAACTTATGTAATTTTTTAAAATTTTTATTTTTTAGTTTTAGGTGGACACAATATCTTTATTTTATATTTATGTGGTGCTGAGGATCGAACCCAGTGCCTCGTGCATGCTAGGCAAGCACTCTACCACTGAGCCACAATCCCAGCCCTTATGTACTCTTTTCTATATAGGAGGAGGAGTTTGGGGAGTGTTTGGAACTGTAAATGATTTGTTTTAGGGGAATTTGATGGGTTTGGAGAACATAAAAGGCCTAGGACAAAGCCCGTTTCGCCCACAGAACAGAATATGGTTTGTCAATGTTTTTTTCTGTTGAATGGAAATAGAAAACAGTGGTATGTAGCAAAAATTTGTTCAAGTTTGTTGGACAAATTTTGTTCTTTCTTCCTGAGATTAGTTTAGTCTTCTCTGGTTAATGAAATTTTCATAAGAAGACTGAAGGTAATTGTATTCTTGGGAGATCCTTTTAGGTAGATAAGGGAACTTTACTACAGAACTAAATTGAAAGCTGTGGAAATATTTAATAAGAGCAAGTTATTAAACAAATACTATCAAGTTGATAGGTTAAGGGTTCACCTGCTGGATGTCAGTCAGCTCAGTTCTCTGTGTGTCATGTCAGTGAGCCTTGGCTGTCTCTTGACAGTATTAATATAGATCACTTAGTTGGGTAAGGAGTGGTCTGTCAGGTTTTTATCTGTGAAGTTACTGTTTTTGTCTTTTAAATTCATGTGATGGTTAGATACTTGGAGACTGTAAATATTTTCAAATTTTTTACCCAGTGTTTTCAGTATTTAGTATTTGTCTAAATCAGTTATTAACTGTGACAGTTGTCAAAATGGTGATTCTTTAATTTCATTGGTGCCTCTGTTGGCGTGCTTTCTCCTGTGAGGTAGTCTTATTTGTTGATATCAGTGTGGACTCAGGGATTCTTTCTTTCTTTTTTTAAATAATATCTTTATTTTGTTTATTTATTTATTTTATATGGTGCTAAGAATCGAACCCAGTGCCTTACATGTGCTTGGTAAGCGCTCTACCACTGAGCCACAACCATAGCCCCAGGGATTCTTTTTTGTCATGAGTGAGATTGAAAATCTTTTTATAAATGTAAGAACATTTTTAGATCTTTTGTGAATTGTCTGTTCTTGTATTTTCCCAATTTTCTTTTGGACTTTTAATCTTTTCCTCTCAATATTTAAGAGCTCTTTATATTTAGGAATATTAACTCTTTACCTATCATGTAAGTTTTGAAGATTTTCTTCTAGTGTGTCAGTTGTCTTTTGAGTCTTTTGGTATTTCCTCCTAAGAAGCAGCTTAAAAAATAAATACTCTTTTTATATAAGAAAAATTATCAGTTTTTATCATATCTAGATTTTGTGTAATAGTTAGAACATCCTTCTCTACACCTAGGTTAAAGAAGAATTCTCTCGGGGCTGGGGATGTGGCTCAAGCGGTAGCGCGCTCACCTGGCATGGGTGCGGCCCGGGTTCGATACTCAGCACCACATACAAAGATGTTGTGTCCGCGGAAAACTAAAAATAAATAAATAAATATTAAAAAAAAAAAGAAGAATTCTCTTATTTTTTTATAGATCATATGTTTTTATTTGTTATGTTTAGACTCTTGACCATTTAGAATATATTCTTATGAATAGTGTGAATCATGGATCTAATTTTCTTCCTTTTCAAGTGTCTAACTAATAGACCAAGCCACATTTGTTGAATAGCACATTGTTGCCCCAGTGATTTGAAGAGCTACTTTTATCTTATGAAGTTCTACATGTACTTTGGTCTGTTTAGAGGCTTTTTTTTTTCTCTTTTGCTTTTTGGTCTCTCTGCTGATGCACCAGGACCATATTGTTCTAATAATTAAGGTCTTGCATATGTCTCAATGTCTGGTAGGACTTTTCTATTTTATTGCTTTTTAATTGTTTAAAAGATGAGAAAAAATCTCATTAGGTACTAACTACTAAGCAATATTTTTGCATTTCCACTAGTTAATTTCTGGCTCAAAATTTAGGGTAAAGACTCAAGTTTTTGAAGATGGCTGAATTTATAACTAATAACAACATAAAAAATATAGAAAGAAAAGAAAATCATCTGATCAAAATACCCCTTTCCCCTTCATGCTGAATGTTTTTTCTCTTGGGCCTTATTAACGTCTCATAAGGTCCTGTCCTGTATTAGATGTCAACTGGCTGGTGCTTCTTGGATTGACTGTGACTTAAATGTTCAACATGACATAACACTGTCCTGTTCTGGTTCTAGGATGAAAGGTCATTGGGGCAGAGTTGTTTATGCCTGGTATCCTGTGGCATTCTGCCTAGAAATTTGTATCCCTGGAGGGTGGTGGTAGATCGTCGGCAGATACTCTGAAGAATGCCAAGAATATAAATAAAAAATTTTAGTTTACTGGATGCAAGTAATTTTGTTAGCTCTGCAGTTTCTAGGATGATTTTCAGCTATGTAGCAGTATTTGGAGGTAATATAGTATTTTTTCATTTAGAATCATTGTCATTATCGGGGCTATGTGGAGGGAGTTTATAAGTCATCCGTTGCTCTTAGTGACTGTTTTGGACTCAGGTAAGACATTTTCTGTATTTTTTTTTCTTTTTTTTATCTTTTCTTCTCTGTCTCTAAACCCAGTCATTTTGGAGACTTAACAGAATTAAGTTTTACTTTGATGTTACTAAGGTCTTTACAGCTGTGTTTCAGATATTCTTGGCATGTTTATTTAGGAAAATCTTATAGTTGATGATTTTTAATATTTAAATGGAAAATTTCATTTTTCTGAGAATACTTAATAATTTTAGGTATTTAAAATAACATATACTTTAAATTTTGGTAGTGGTTGGTTTACAAAATTTTTACCTGCATACTCATTGAAGTTTCACAATGTCTGAAAAAGAGCTTATTAACATCATATTTAGGTGAGCAAACTGAGGTTCAGAGAAATTGTATGACATATCCAATGAAGTTATAATAATGTTAAAGTTACTTGAATTGAAGACCTGGCCATATGGCACTGTGTTAATTAGTTGCCTTCATGGGTACATGATTGATTGACATAATAAATATTACTTTTAATTCTCAAACCAAATATATAAAATGGCTATGATTATTCTCATTTAAGGAACAACATTTACTGAATGGTTATTGTGTGCCAGGGAATATTCTAAGTATTTTATGCATATTAAATAATTTATTTATCTGAACAATACTATGCAGAATGTAAACTGAAGTTAAATGACTTGTTTGAATCCCTCACTAGTAGAAAGCAGATTTGGGTTTGAGCTCTGGTCCTGCAGCTCCAGACTCCTCCTTCTCAGCTGCTACTTTGCAGTTGTACAGCAACCATTCAGAAAGGTTAAATAACTTAAAGGCAGTGATACTAGTAGGCAGCAGTAAGATCTGTTTAACTCTAAAGCCTCTATTTTTTCCTATCTTGTGGTATCTTTACATGTGTTGAGAATTAGGACTTCAACTCAGGGTTTCTGATGCCCTTTTCTGTGTATTTTTTCTGTGTAATGCAACATATAGAGGATTGCTACATTTAGAGAATGCCAGTTATGGGATTGAACCCCTGCACAACAGCTCTCGCTTTGAGCACATGTTATATCGAATGGATGATGTCCACAAAGAGCCTCTGAAATGTGGAGTTTCTAACAAGGATATAGAGGAGGAAACCACAGAGGATAGAGAGGAAGATCATCCCAGCATGACTCAGCTGCTTCGAGTAAGGAAATATAATTATTCATGACTTGGATTCATATTTTTTTAAAAAAATCATTTATTTGTTCATTAAACCAGTACTTAAAAAGATGAGCAGTATGTCGTCCCTGCTGCCAAGTTGACGACAGTTTAGATTCTGTGGGTTTTAGAGACCAGGGTTTAAATTTTAAATAGGAATCATATTTAGTATTGCCGTGTAATAGTCCATTACACTATCTTTCAGTGGAGGTTTTATGTAGATTGAAATAATGGGAATGGCCATTATTGATCCATGGAGAAACACACACACACACACAYACACACACACACACACACACGGGTGGGGGGGGCATGCAGGAGAGAGAGATTTGACATTAGCATACTAATCACTTCAGATGGCTTCCAAGGCTGCTTTTATTCCCAGTTGTGACACTTGAGGACTCTTTGATATGAGTCACTTGGACTGAAGTGGTTCTAGGATGGGATTAACTTCAGCTTTAGGGATTATACCTTTTTAAATGTGAGATGGTGTTGCTGTTTTGGAAGAGGCATTTTTTTTCCCCCTTTTTCTTTTTGTTGAGGCATATAGTGACTCTATATGTTGCCCAGGCTCAAACTCCTAGGCTTAAGTGATCTTCCTATCTCTGCCTCTACAGAAACTGGAACTACAGGTGCGTACCACTATGTCCAGTTTAGAGCATAATTTTAGTTAATTAAGACTAGTTTATGGCATTGCCTTTTCTGCCATTCACTCTTTTGACTTTTGGACTTTTTTTTTTTTGTAATTGAAACATTGAAAGACACATTTTTGCTTATTCTATTCTGTAAAATGACAAAACTATTTTTTTTGTTGTTGTTGTTGTTGGTACGGGAGATTGAACTCAGAGGCACTCGACCACTGAGCCACATCCCCTGCCCTCAGTGAGACAGGGTCTCATTGAGTTGCTTAGTGCCTCACTGTTGCTGAGGCTGGCTTTGAACTTGTGATCTTCCTGTCTTATTCTCCCAAGCTGCTGTGATTAAAGGCACACACAACCATGCCTGGTAAAACTAGTTATTTTTTAAAGTGGTAGTGTGTGCCCCAGCTTCTGCTTTTAAATTTTAGTAGACATTCTTTCACTTTAGTAATGGGTTTTTCACTTTAGTAATGGGTTTTCTTTTTAAAGTGTTTATGTGTGTTTTGATTTTAAAAATCAGTCTTTAAAACATCTGCTTCATGAATAACTTATTTTATCTTTAGCTGGAGTTTTTCCCTCGGATCAATATAGATAGCAGATAACTTTTTTTTTTTTAAATCATGTTTTAATTCAACATGGTGGTGCAGGCTTGTAATCCTAGTGACTTGGAGGCTGAAACAGGAGGATTGCAAGTTTGAGGCCAGCCTTATCAAGTTACCAAGTCCCTGTCTCAAAATAAAAAAGAGCTTGGGATGGAGCTCTGAGATAGAATGAGATAGAATGCTCCTCGATCCTGCAAAAAACCAAAACCAAAAACGAAAACCAGTTAAAAAACCCAAAATATATCTTTGGCATTATAGAAATACATTAAGTAAAGTTTAACAATACTCTTAGCAGACATGAAATATGTGATTAGAGTATGATCATTACATATGAAAAATGTGTAGCCTGATACTTTTTATTTTGCCCTTATGATGTTCGTGTTTTCTACAGAGAAGGAGAGCTGTCCTGCCACAGACCCGATATGTGGAGCTGTTCATTGTTGTAGACAAAGAAAGGGTAAGGATGGCAACAGTTTTTCTTCTTTATCATGAAAAGCACATGAGAAGTGGGCATTCCATGAAGGAAATACAAACTGTGACATATGTTTGTATTGATTTTTCGTAAATAAGTATTTAGAAAGTAAAATGCCTTTTTTCTTTAAACCTTAATACCACAATATACCACTAGAAGCTGAAGTAGCAGATGAGACCACTTTTGACTTAATTTTTTTACTAGCGATTCCCCGCCTCCGCCTGCCCTGTTCTCTTTGTTAAAATCATTTTTATTAGTGCATTATAGTTATAATATAGGGGTTCATTTTTATATGGTTATACATGCTCCATTTCAGTACCTAGTCCTTCCTCTCTCCTTCTCCTCTTCCCTCTCCTAGTCTCCTTCATCTCCTCTACTGGTCTTTTTTCTATTTATTTATTGCTTTTTAATTGGTGCTTTATAGATATACATAAAGGTAGAATTAACTATGCTGTTTTCATATGTGTATGTAGCATAATTTGTTTAATTCCATTCTGCAATTCCTCCCTTTGCCTGTCCTTTCTTCCTCTTCCTCTGTCTACTCCCTGATCTCCCTTCTATTTCATGGGATCCATCACCCTTTTTCTTATTTTGCTCTAGCTTCTGACTATAGTGAACACACTGTCCCCATGACTGAGTCTTATTTTGCTTGGCATGATGTTAATTTACCAGTAAATGCCATAATTTCATTCCTCTTTATCATCCCTCTTTTTTCTAGTGATTTGCTTATGTGCGTTTCTTGAATGAAACTGTGCTATCAGGGGCTTGAGAACTTTTCAGATTACTTTAATAGACTGTGGCTTAAACCAAGTTAGTCAGGTGACTAATAAAATTGCTTTGCTTTGTAGAATTTCAGTTAACCTATAATTCACTTAAGAGTAGAATACTTCGAGGGCTTGGTATGCTTTTGTAAGGAAATAGTATTAATTTCAGTACAGGACAACACCAGGGCAATTTCCTTGTTTTTATTTAAGAAACCTAACTAATTGTTTTATTTAACTGAGAGAAGTAATGTGTCCTTTTCAACATATATAAGATTATGAGTTTTAAATAGAGCTGCTATATAACTTAAAATATAGATTATTTGAAATGTTTTGGCTGACTTTTATTTCTAATTTTGTTGTTGTATTAAGAGTTATTTGTGGAATCTTAATATGATTGGCAGTTCTTTTCTTGTAAGCTGCAGGGGTAGGCTTGAGGATTTTTGTGGTTTAAAAAAATGCTTTATTGTTGTAGGTAGGAAAAAATAAGCCCTCGTGATTAAGAGATGGACGCTCGCTCACATTCGTTCAGTATAGGTTCATTACCTGCAAACAGTGGGAAGAAAAGCATAGAGAATGTAAGCTAGTGTGAACTGTGCCCCAAATGATGGGTAAAATGTTTCTGTAGAATGTTTTGGGCAAAACACACAAATAGAAATTTAAAAGTATTTTTCTTTATTGCTGTCTCCAGATAGATTTGTTTTATATGTATAGAAAATGGTTCAAAATAAAAATGGAACTATTTCCACAAAGCCCTATCAAAGTTATTAAAACTTTTGTTCTTTTTTAGGAGAATTGTGATAAATTGCCTAATTGATAAAATCATATATTTTGATTTTAAGGCCTTTATCATAGAGCAAAGTCATAAACTTTTTAAAATTTTCTTTTGGTTAGCAAGTTTGTTGTATAAAATAATGTTACAATAGACATTTGGATAGAACCACCTCCTGTAGAAAAGAATCAGTTATATGAGTTATTGGACTTATACTAGTTATACTAATTAGAAGAAAGGAAAACTTTGGTGTATTTTCATTAGTATCATTGTACTTGTTTTTCTTTTATTTCTATTTATCACTAAAGTGTATACTTTAGATGTATTAATTTGAAATGTTGGAAAATGTCTTAATGCCTTAGTTTTAGTTTAGAGGAAATATTTGGATTCTTCATTGTAACAGGTTAAAGACATTTTCATTCTTAAGTTACTTAGGTGATAATGACAATGATTTTCCTTTGCTTTTCCAGTATGACATGATGGGGAAAAATCAGACTGCTGTGAGAGAAGAGATGATTCGTTTAGCAAACTACTTGGATAGTGTAAGTTGTCTTTTCTGTCAACTAGAATTATTCTGTCCTGCCCTTTCATGGTCTCAGCAGAATTTAAAATCTCATTTTGAGCTTTGATTATCATAGGCCTTAATGACTCAGTCTTTCTGAGATCTGCTTTCTAGTTTATTCTGTATTTTTCAAGGTCTCAAAGAAAAGTTTAAGTGTAGAAAAGACTTTGAGAGGTCTGGGGTTGTGGCTCAGCGGTAGAGTGCTCACCTAGCATGTGCGAAGCCCTGGGTTCTATCATCAGCACCACATAAAAATAAATAAATAAAACATAGATATTGTGTCCAACTAAGAAATAAATATAAAAAAGAAAAGACTTTGTGAAGAGCCAGAGATTTCAGATTAGCATTTGACTTACCTTTAGAGTAGATTGGCTAAAGTACTTTTTTGTTTATGAAGAGATCTTTGAATTTTTGTTGACAGAATCTTATTTGAATAAGTCTGCTTCCTACCTTGAAACTGTGACATATGCCAGTGTTTACTTTGTGCATGTATGTAATTTGGAGTTCACTAAAGAATTAGATACATATTCTTATAGAATAATTTTGTTTGTAAGGCATTCATTCCCCTGATACAACAATGATGATGGTGATGATCATAATGATATCATTCTGTTAGGTGTTAACAATGTGTTATAATCTAAGTGCATTATATTTATTAATCATTTAATTTTCACTGAATCTCTGTGAAATAGGTATGAGTTCTAGAATCCTTGATCTGTAAACTTTGGGGTTCCTGTGATTAGAATTTTAGGTAAGCATTTAGAAAGGTATTATGATTTACTGTGTATTACATAATACCTCCAACATGATCTTGGGATAGTACCTTTTGATCAATTTCATTGATATTTCTGCAGTGAAATGTATGGATTATGTTAAGTGTTATGTGAATCAGTTTTTTATTACTATAACAAAATACTATGATAATGAACTTATAAAGAGAAAAGTTTTGTTTTGTTTTATAGTTTTATAAGTTTAAGTCTGTGATTAGTTGGCCCTGTTGTTTTGGACCTGTAGCAAGGTGGTGCACCATGGTGGGAGCCTGTGGCAGAGCAAAACTGTTCACCTCATGTTCAGGAAGCAAAAGAGAGGAAGAGGAAGGGTCTGGGTTTCCACAGTCCCCTCTGAGGAAATGTTCCCAGTCACTTGAAGACCTCCCACTAGGCTCCACATCTTAAGGTTTCTATACCTCCCAATAGAGAGGAGATGAGGACTTTACCACATGGGTCTTTGGGGAACATTCAAGATCCAAACAATAGCAGTGGGATAAACACAGACCATGAATAGGATTGCATTACTTTGGGGTAAGTTTTAGAACCAAATTTACCAAAAACTTAATTTCCAGAGTTTGTCAGATGTTAAAATGGGAGATAAAAAGGACTTTGAAGCTTTGTAACCTACCATTTTATAGGTAATGAAACAGATTCTTGAGAGGTTAGAGTCTCATTGTACTGAAAGACTTTTTCTTTTGGAGGGAAGAAGTCTAATTTTTAATTTAAGTAGTTTTGTTACTATAGTTAAAAGCTTTTCATCACATTCTTTAATGTATTTTATTTCTCTTTTCTTCACAGATGTATATTATGTTAAATATTCGAATTGTGTTAGTTGGACTGGAGATTTGGACAAATGGAAACTTGATTAATATAATTGGAGGAGCTGGTGATGTGTTGGGGAACTTTGTACAGTGGCGGGAAAAGTTTCTTATAACACGTCGGAGACATGACAGTGCACAGTTAGTGCTGTAAGTGATTTTTTTTAAAAAGTGCTATGAACAATCATTTTTGCTTATTTTCTTATATTTCTTACCTATGTTTTTCTTTTTCTTTTTTTGGGGTTCTAGGGATTAAACTCAAGGGCACTCAACTACTGAGCCACACATCCTCAGCCCTTTTTTTGTATTTTGTTTAGAGACAGGACCTCACTGAATTTGTATTTTTCTTTCCTGTATTTTCTTACCACCACCCGCTCTCCAATTGCCCACCACCCTTTTAATTTTTTTTTTCCCTAGTGCTGGGAATTGAACCCAGGGCCTTACACATACTGGGCCCTACTTTCTTATTTTATTTTCTAATTGCTTTTTGTGAAATAAAAAAATTACATGGAAAGAAAAAATTTGGATATCTTGCTTGTCAGACAGTTTGTTTTCACACTCTCAGAACAGAATTTAAAGATTATTATTATTTTTTTTTTAAGAGAGAGTGAGAGAGGAGAGAGAGGAGAGAGAGAGAGAGAGAGAGAGAGAGAGAGAGAGAGAGAGACACACACACACACTGAGGATCGAACCCGGGCCGCACACATGCCAGGCGAGCATGCTACCGCTTGAGCCACATCCCCAGCCCTGAGAATTTAAAGATTATTTTAATTTGAGCTCTCATGATCTTAACTCAGTTTTTCAAATATGTGCTTTCTATCTTTCTTTTGTTTTTGCTTACTTTTGGAATTGTTTGGTTGGGTACAAATTATAGGCATGGAATCTTTCTCCTTCACAGATTTGAAGGCACTGTAGCACTGTTCTGTAATCTTTTGATTTCCATTATTTATTATTATTATTATTTATTATTATTTATTTTTCTATTTTTATTTTTATCTTTTGAGTACTGGGGATTGAACTCCGGAGCACTTGGCCACTGAGCCACACCTCTAGCCCTATTTTGTATTTTATTTAGAGACAGAGTCTCACTGAATTGCTTAGTGCCTCACTTTTGCTGAGGYTGGCTTTGAACTCAGGATCCTCCTGCCATAGCCTCCCAAGCCACTGGGATTACAGGTGTGTGCCACTGTGCCTGGCTTTTAGTATTATTCTTAAGATTCCTAAAATCATTCTGATTTCTGTTCCTTTATTGTGGCCTGTGTTTTTTCATCATCACTAGAAAACTTGTAGGATCTTCTCTTGGTTCCCAGACTTCTGAGTTTTCTTGATGATGTATTTGGTATAGATCTTTTATCACTTATTGCACTGTGTTCTCAGTGAGTAATTTCAATGTGAAATCAAAGTCCTTTGGTTTTTGGAATTTTTATTGAATTATTTTATAGATTATTTCATCCTTTTATTTTTATTTTTTGTTTCTCCTGGGGTCCCTTTTCTTCTGGGATCCCTTGGCTATTGGTTTTCTTATCCTGGTACTTCTTCCCGCCGCCCCCACCCCAACATGTTGTGATTTAAAAGCTTTTTTTTTGCGGGGCAGGGGACAGTGCTRGAATTCTGAGTATCTCATGCATGCTGGGTAAGCACTCTACCAGTGAGCTATATCCCCAGCCCAATTTAATGACTTTTATAGCCCCATAATCATAAAAGCTTGGTCCTGACCTTTTTATTAATTTTCAGTAAAATGCACATGCCACCTATCTCATCCCAGTGACAGTGCCATGTGTTTTACAAAAAACCAAAAGGAGCAGGTGTCAAGTGTACCCACTGCTCTGCCCAACCACACTGTTTGATCAGTGTCTGTCCTATTGTAGATGCTTGATGATGTTTAATGAGCCTTGGTTGTTTGTGGTTAAGAATGGAGTTGTAAAAGCTTTTTGGAAGCTTTGAGTGCATGAGTGAGTCTTAGGTTCTATGAGGTTCGCTATTAAGGTGATCAGGCTGGAATTTTCCTTGACTGTAGCTCTGATTATTTTTTCTGGGTTGGTCCGATGCCCCAGAAAAGGATTTATTGATTTATTTAAAAAATATTTATTGGGTGTATACCACAGTGACCAAAACAGATAAAAATTTCTACTCTAATGGATTCCGTATTCTGGTGGAAGAAGTTTGAATAAATGAAACAAATAAGTGTATATAGTTTGTTAAATAGTGCTAAGCAATGTGGAAAAGTAAAACATGGAGGGTAGATATAAAAGTAGGAGTGGGGGTGATATTTGAGGTAACATGGCCAGGGCAAGGTTCTTTGAGGTGACTTTTGAGTGAAGACATGGAGGAGGTGAAGGAATGAGAGAGGGGTACAGAGTTCCAGGAAGCATGTTGGGCATGCTTGAAGAACAGTGTGGAGACCATGTGACTCTTTCCCTGTTCGCTGTGCTCAATGCCTTGTAGCCTCTCTTGTGAATACATTCATTGGGTTTGTTATCTTTCCTCACCAAAATATGTTGTATAAATAAATGTAGTATGTTTTTAGAAAGGTTTTCATCCATAAGGTAAAAATCCCTAAAGCCAAAAACTTTTCTTGGTATCTTTATCTGTCTGGAAAAAAAAGTTCTTTGAAATATTAATCTCATTTTCTGATAATATAAAGGAAAGAAGACCGTTATTTTTTTATTTTAAAAATTATTTATCATTGTCATTTTTCTCTCAGTTTTTGTAGGTGTTGCCAATCCAGTTAAGATCCCCCATAGAAATAGGAGTAATGCATTCCTTTTTCCCAAGTACATTTTGTAACTTTTACTTTTTCATTTAGAAAGAAAGGATTTGGTGGGACTGCAGGAATGGCATTTGTGGGAACAGTGTGTTCAAGGAGCCACGCGGGCGGGATTAATGTGGTATGTTGTTGTTGATGTTTATCGTTGGAATCTGCATTAGGGCAGTATCAAGCATTTATTACTCTGTGCTTGTCTCCTAGTCCTTAAAACAACATTTTGGATATTATGAAGAACACAGTAGAAGTGGCAGGTGTGTTCTTTCCCTAGAGACCAGAACAAATTTTCTAATAATTTTTATGTTTATTGGCATGTTTTATGAATGAAGAAACAGGGTCCATTTGTGATAAACTAAATGAGAATTTTCAATTTACTTTCCCATAAACCACCATGAATAATCTATTGGTATTCAAGTAAATGACCTGTTGCTTAAAGGATCCAGCCTCGTGATTAGTATGTGAGTCATACTAATTCTTACTAGACTACACTGTATAAAGATTGTTATTGTATGCCTGATTTATCATGTAGGCTGTCAACATTGTAGAGAATAAATTTCCTTTTGTGAAAAAAAACATTTCTTATTTATTAGAAACCTGATTAATACCTTGTTATGTTTGAACAGTTTGGGCAAATTACTGTGGAGACCTTTGCATCCATTGTTGCTCATGAGTTGGGTCATAACCTTGGAATGAATCATGATGACGGGAGAGATTGTTTCTGTGGAGCTAAGAGCTGCATCATGAACTCAGGGGCCTCGTGAGTAGCTGAGTTTCTTCTTCTTAATATGGTGTTGTAGATCAGTGTTTCTTAACTCTGAGGGATACTTATGCCTATGTTGTAAAAACCAGGAAAAGTCATTTCTGATTTCCTCAAATACATCAGTGAGAAGCCTATTTTCTAATTAAATAATCCTAGAGAACTTTCAGAAGGGAAAATGTAGATAGGCATAGATATGTAATTACACTGTTCTGTAAACCAGTAGAGAGACCAGTAGAACATACAAAACTTTACTGCTAGATTCATTACAGATTGAAGAACTATATGAAAAAATTCTACACAAACCCTCTTTTGAGGAAGTGCTTGCTACATTTTCACTTTAAGCAAAAGAAGAAATCCTGACACGTTCCTATTACTACCCCTTGTTTTACAGAGATAAAAGAAGGATATAATTCAGAGAGGAGGAGAAGAAAGATTAGGAAACATTTACTAAATTCTTTTTTAGATACTTGTGGGTACTTAAATGGTATCAACTTACTTATTGCTTAGTCTAATGAGGTGTGGATACTTTGTCCATTTATAGGTGAAAAATGAGGTCACACATCCAAATTCCTGACTGGGATTTGAACTCAGGATGTCTGGGTCCAGAGCTGATAATCTCGTCTTTTAACTAGTTTCAAAAATCTTTACAATTGAGGGTTCAGAGGTGACTGGGTTTCTCTCTGCCACTCTTCATTATGGGGCAGTCGTTCTAAATAGAGCTGCACTAAGCCTCAGTGCATATGTGGATTAGAAGCTGAGCCTGACTGAAAATTAGGTACAAAAGGAGGTCATCTTTAACAGCCACAGCTGAGGATTTCATATGGGAAATATCAGTGGCCCCAGGTGCTCACTTCCCTCCTCGACTTCCTGAAGTACAGACAGAGTAATAAAAAATCTGCTAGTTAGTTATTTAGCTAAAGGTCTGAGAGTACAGTTCTGGTCACATGGTGGTCTAATGGGATTCACAGTTTTTGAGTAAATACTAGACTTAAAATGAGATATGGAAGAATTAAATTGTGCTTGTGAAAGTGATCCTCCAGTAAAAAAATATACAAAAGTCATCTCTTTATAAAAGAGTTCCCATAAGAAAGGAAGTAAATTAAGCATTTGCTTTGTTTGGCAGTGATGATGAGGAAGACACCAACTCAGGGAGTTGAAAAATGAGTAATGAGCAAGATAAGACAAGAAATTAAAGTGTAAAATAGAACATTCAGAGTGATAAGGAGGGAATGTTATGAAACTTTAGTAATGGAATTTAAAGTGGTATAAGAAGGAATGGGGAGTGAACTCAGACTTTATTCATTCACTTATCATATATTTATTGAGCACTACAATGTACCAGACTTTATTTTAGGTACTTGGAATATTTCAGAAAGTTAGATAAGACTTGCCCTTCACAGAATTGACATTTAGTAGAGAAGACAAACTATCAACATAATAAATAAATTAATAATACAGAATGTTAGAAGGTGTAAGTAAGTGCTCTGGGAATAAAATAGAGCAGATTTTGGGGGTTTGGGTGGTATGGTACTGGCACTGGTTATAGGAGTAGGCCTCATTCTTTTACTATAGTCTGGTTAAGCTAGATGTGAATAATAGAAATCCCACCAAGTACCTGTAGTCCCAGCTCCATGGGTGGTGAGAACTTTGTCTTAAACAAAACAAAATACCCTCCAAAGCCCCAAATTAGTTGGTAAACATTCTTCTAAGTAAATCTTGTGTTTACAAAAATGTTTTTAAAATGTTCAGAAGAGAATGATGTTATGAATATTATATGTAAAACTTAAACACAAATATATATAATGATCTCAAATACAAGGTGATCCATCATTTTCTACGTGAGAAGAGCCAAAAAGTGGTTTTTTTTTTTTTTTTTTTTAAAGAAGAGAGAGGGGGGGGAGAGAGAGAGAGAGAGAGAGAGAGAGAGAGATTGATTTTTAAAAATATTTATTTTTCAGTTTTCGGTGGACACAACATCTTTATTTTATTTTTATGTGGTGCTGAGGATCAAATCCAGCGCCCTGCGCATGCCAGGCAAGCACATTACCCCTTGAGCCACATCCCCAGCCTGCCAAAAAGTTTTGGTAACTGGAATAAAAATGTGCTAGGCATTCCTGGATCTTGGAGAGGATAACCAATAGCTATAGGAGAGACTGACCTTGTAGGAGTTGGGGTAGAAGGACACTGCCAGCATGAGGTGACCTGATAGAGAGGTACTGAGGGAAATTAATCAACTTTATTCTTCTAATAGTGTGTCTTTGCCAGTGCCTCTTTTTGGCCACATTTATTTGAATGTTAGCCTAAGCAAGGGACCTAGTGGCAAAGGATGGGTTAGGATTTGGAGGGGAAAGCAAAATCTGTAGCACACATACACCCATTTTCATTACTATTCCAAATAGAGCACCCCTAATCCAAAAATCTGTCCAAAATGCTCTGAAATCCAAGACCTTTTGAGCACCAACATGACATTCAAATACTTTCAGATTTTGGATTTTCCAGACTAGGGATATTCCACTGGTAAGGTATAAATATTTCCAAATCCAGAAAGCTCTGTAATATGAAACACTTCTAGTCCCAAGCATTTCAGGTAAGTGATACTCAAGCTGTACTTTAATTTGTTTTGGAAGTTCTAGCTAATGTGATGAATAAAGAAAAGATTTAGGACCAAATATTTGAAAAGAGGGAAGCAGTTATTTACAGAAGATATGACTCTCTACTTTTGAAAAGCAAGGTGGTTAATTAAATAATATCAAAATGTGGTTATAAATCAAATGTTTTAAATAAATAGATTCCTAACAAATCAGTTATAATCATTTTGAAAAATGAGGGGAGAAACATGATTATGTTTGCCCCAAATTCTAAATGTCTTGGAATCAGCTTAATAGGAAGCATGTAGGACTTATTAAGAGATGATGCAAAAATTTATTGAAGGTCATGACAGATAATTTGAGTAAAGGTGGTGTTTTATTAGAAGATTAAATATTGGAAATATGTCTGTTTTCATCAGATTAAGCCATATATTTACTGCAACTCCAATCAAATTCCAAACATTTGTGTATTACTCTCATTTTGGAGCAGGATAAACTGAATTTAAAGTCAGTTTGAAAGGATACCTTTCTGATCTTAGTGAAGAAGACATTCAAAAGAAGATTCCTGGGGAAGGCTGTCAGTACTAGATGTCACTGTGATTTGGGAAAATACACCATTAACTCAAATGCATATACCTGCTGATTAGCAGCTCCCTGTTTTCTCTCCCCCAGTCCCTGGATACCACAATTTTATAAATTTTTTTCATGAATTTGATTACTTTAGAAACTTTGTTCAAGTGTTATCATACAGTGTTTGTCCTTCTGTGATTAGCTTGTATTTCACTTAGCATGATGTCCTCCATGTTCTTCTTGTTGTAAGTGGTAAGACCTCTTTTTTGAGGCAGAATAATATTTCATTGTATATGTATGTATGGAGTGTGTGTATCTGTCTATATCATTTTCTTCATCCTCACCAATACTCATTACCTTGATTTTTTGATAGTAGTTTTCTAATATGTGAGGTGTATATCATTGTGGGTTTTGAAAAAAAAATTTTTTAGTTGTAGATGGACATCATGCCTTTATTTTATTATTTTTATGTGGTGCTGAGGATTGAACCCAGTTCCTCACATATGCTAGATAAGCACCCTTCCACTGAGCTACAGCCTCAACCCTCATTGTGGTTTTGATCTGTATCTCCCTAATGTTAAGCAGCCTTTATTACTGGACGGTGGCACGTCCTATCCTCTTTGGAGAAATGTCTGTTCAAGTCCATTTTTAATTGAGTGTAGTGCTTCTGCACATTTGCACATGTGTCTCTTCTATGATTCTTGTTTGTCTCTTATCCTTTTTAAGTATATTTCCTGTTAGATATTTTTTTCTGACATCTTTCAGTTCCTATATTTGTATGAATTTACTGTTTTATACTACTCATTGAATTCTTAATTTCATTTACTGCATTTCATTGTTCAATTTCCGATTTATTTTTTAAATCTGGAGTACTTGTTTTTCCTGCCAGAATTTTCAAGTCTGTCTTTTTTCTCTTACTATTGCAAGCATAGGTGTTTTTGGGTTATTATTTAATAATTCTAGTGTCAGATTTTATTAAAATAAACCAGCTTTCTTGCCATTTTTTTCTCATAGAATCTTTAATTTTTTTTTTTGTAATTGTAGATGGACAGAATGCCTTTATTTGTTTATATTTGTGTGGTGCTGAAGATCGTACACAGTGCTTCACGTATGCTAGGCAAACACTCTACCACTGAGCTACACAGTCCCAGCCCTCTCCTAGTATCTTGTGTCTTCATATTATGTTTTTTTTTTTTTTTGGTGGTGGTGGGGTACCGGGTATTGAACTCAGGGGCACTTGACCACTGTGCCACATCCCCAGCCCTATTTTGTATTTTATTTAGAGACGGGGTCTCACTGAGTTGCTTAGTGCCTTGCAGTTGCTGAGGCTGGCTTTGAACTTGCGATTCTCCTGCCTCAGCCTCCTGAGCTGCTGGTATTATAGGTGTGAGCTACCATGCCCAGCCATATTGTTTTGGTTTTGATAGTGCAATAAGCTATTGTATTTAAATTTTTTTTTCTGTATGAATAATTTGTAAACTAGAATATTGTCCTTAGCTTGGGTAGCAGTTAGTCTTTTTAATTACAGATTTCTTGTGCTCTATAATAACCCTAATTTCATGTTCATCTTACTAGGGCTTTTTAAATAGAGATGAAATAGATTTTGCCTTTTTTTCAGATAATTCAGTCGGAGTCAGTTCTATTTAATAAAATGAGAAAAATTACTTTCTTAACTCTGCCCCTCAATGTCACCTGCATCAGAAAGACTTCATAATCAGTTGCTCTCACTTAATCTAATTAGGTGCCATTATTTAGAGTCTACTCTTTGGACTTCCTAATTCCATGCTATTGGAATCAGGATGTAATGGTGAAAATACATTCTGGTATTTCCACATTACTCATAGAAATAATGACTAATAATATAAACAATGAGTTCTGAGTGGATATTGATTTTTTTTTTTTGGTCATTTCCTGGAAGATCATTTAATCATTGTCAAGCTCCTTTTGAAGTGGCCTTGGAAAACTCACCTAGGTGTGAGAGAAGAGAAGATGTTTAAAATCATAAATACAGAATCTAGAGGTGATAGGAAGAGAGTAGGAACACTTTCGTTGCTATTCAAGACATGTATTAGGGAAAAGATCATTCTTTTTATTGCTATAGGTGTCAGTCAGGGATGGCTAGTGAAGGAATACCTTTGTTATTATCTCCAGAGCTTTTTAAGGCATTGCTGAAGGCCAGTATTGGAGAATGTTTGTTAATATTTTCATCTGCTAAAAAAAATCAGAAGAGTTTGTGATTTTTGTTATAATATTCAGTCCATAGCTTCATTGTGGGTGAAACGGATGTTTTTGTAGATTGCTCTAGGGTCAAACATAGAACATACAGAAGAGAAAATGTGTTACAACTGCTAAATACCAAGCTTATTTAAAAGTAACCTATTGAAAGTAATAGACTTTGTGTAGGTTGTAATTAGGGACTCAAATGTAGGGATATGCATATGCCTGCACAACTCCTATGACTATTTGCTAATTAATATATCCTTACAGAAAACATTATTGCAGGTGTACAATGTGGCAGATAATATACTAACAACAATCACCAACAGGAAATAAACAATTACAAACCTGTTTAAGTTGATGTATCTTTTGCTTATCAAATAATGATTATATATTGTGAGTTCAACATCACTTGATATCTAGTAACCTTATGCTCCGGTTGCTCCTCCTAAACTCATATCTGCCCACAGTCTTTCTCTTCCCCATGTAAATTAATGGTAACACCTTCCTTCTACTACCTCAGTGCTTAAATTTTCTTTCTCACACTATTTTTCATAGTGGCTATTTCTTTAAGACAAATAATCCATCCACTTCTTCCTGCTTTCACATTATTCTGATTAATCATCTGTTCAGTGGATTCTTGTAAGAGACCTCTTGTAGTCTTCCTGCTTAACATAGTAACCATGGAGAACCTACTGAAGCACATGTCAAATCGTTGTCCTTGCTAACTCCACCTCAGAATCCTCATTTCACTTATAATAAAAAGCCACATTTAAAAAAACAAATGGCCTGTTTCCATCTTTCCTGCCTGTATCTCTCATTACTCATTTCCTCATTGACGCACTTCACTGAAAATTTGCTTGCTTCCTTATTGTTCCTTGAATATGCCACGTTGGCTTCTACCGTAGGGTTTTTGCACTTTTTGTTCCTTCTTTCTGTAATGTTTTTTACCTACATGTCCAATTTTGATCAAAGTGCTGAAGTGTTTGAAGTGCCTGCCTGGACTGCCCCTTTAAAATTGTAATCCCCTACCCTCCATAGCTCATCACTCTCATCCTCCCATCCTCTTTCTCCCTAGTACTTATTACCTTTTAATATTTTATTGACTTTACTTACTTTTGTTTATAGTCTGCTTTACTCACTGGAATGTAGCCTTCACAGGGGCTGAGATTTGTTAGTCTTCTATATTCAGTTTCATCCGTTGCACCAAGAATAGTGTCTGCACAAACAAATGTTCAACAAATATTTGTTGAATGAGTGGATGATTGATATTGCACAAAAGGACTCCACCCCACAACATTCTTAAGAGTAGCAAGAAAATAAATATGGAAAAAGTCTTTCTGTTATTGTCACAAGCCTTGTGCTAGATCTCAAGGGGCGGGGGTGGAGGGGGTGGTGAGGAACAACTTGTGTATGTTGATACAGCAGGAGTGGAACCCCTTTATTGTAGGACAACAGAGGTATTTATACATTTTGAACAGCTTATCTTAATTAGCATAAACTAGATACATCATAGATACATCAGTCAACTAATAAGGAATCTCCACACTTAATAGCTCACTTTTGTTACTTCTCAAACCACTCCCTCTGGCATTTTGCCAGGCACCATCCAGACTTGTTKACGAACTCTAACATTCCCCTGGCAAAATGCCAGGTGTTATTTTGACTTGTTTACAGACTCTAACAAACTATGGCAGTCAAAACAGTATGACACTGGCATAAAAACAGACAATGTAGACCCAAAAAACAGAACAGGAAGCCCAGAAATAAATCCAAACATACAATCAACAAATTTTCAATGAGGGTACCATTGGAAAAGTATAGTCTCCTTCAATAAAAGGTGCTAAAAAACTGGATTTCCCAGGCAAAGGAATGAAGTTGGACTCTTATTTTTTTACTACCCACAAATGTGCACACACACACACACACACAGACAAATCAACTTGAAATGGATAAAAGACCTAGGTGGGACACTTGAAACCATAAGATTCCTAGAAAAACATTGGGGAAAAGTTCTTTGATTTTGGCCTTAGCAATGATTTTTTTAAAAAAATATACCAAAAATTTCAGGCTACAAAGAAAAAAGAATAACTAAATGGGACTATCCCCAATGAAATTTTTGAGTTTCCTAAAGACTGGCATATAGGTCTATTTCCTAGCAGTTTTCCAAGGTAAAAATAGTCAGTGAAGTACCTGTAAACATTTTATAGTTATTGAGTAAAACAATGAGTAACTAAGAAAAAAAAATATCTGAACATATCAAAATTGCATTTGTGTAAACTCTTACATGGTTAGCTCAAGTTGGGTAGTTTCTTAAAGCATGTCTAACCTTTGAAGTATTAACTTTGGTTCTCAGGAATTATCATAAAAGGCATTTAAAGTTCAAACTGAAAACCTGTCATATAGGAGTGAGTAGTTGGAATTCTGCACTACACAAGCTGCCTCTGAGGACTCTGCGTGTGTTTGTACTGGAACTGCCCATTCACATTATGTTTACATAGCTCCCAGTGAATAACTTAATGTTGGGGATGTAAAAATATAATCTGCAAGGTGACAAAAGATCGGGAACAGCATAAAGTTAGCTTCCAATATTTGAACTTTTACTCTGTTAAAGTTAATTCTTTATAGTACTAGATAATTTTAAGGTCTTTTCTGATTCTGAGAATTATGATTTTTTTTGTTTCAATGTAAATGATCTATATGGAAGATGTTTTCATGGAGGTACAGTATATTGTAAGCAAAATTGAGAGCTATTTCTGTTGTAGCTTAGGTAATGTTCTATATTGATTAGGAACAGATATTAATTCTTAATTCTCTCTACTTTTGTTAGCTTTTTTTTTTGCCACTTATAATATATACTTCCTGTTGGTTAAAATATTCAAAGTATGTGATCACTCTGACATAAGATCTTTTTCTCAATATTGTAGAGGTTCAAGAAACTTTAGCAGTTGCAGTGCAGAAGACTTTGAAAAGTTAACTCTAAATAAAGGAGGAAACTGCCTTCTTAATATTCCAAAGCCTGATGAAGCCTATAGCGCACCCTTCTGTGGTAATAAATTGGTGGACCCTGGGGAAGAATGTGACTGTGGTACTCCAAAGGTCAGTTGAATTTTTGATTTTTGCTTTGTAAAACTATCACAAGATTTGCAAAATCTTGTGGTTTGGGGCAACTATGACAGAGGAGCTAAAATAAGTAGCAAAATGAGGATTGTTATTTCGTCTGTGTGGATACGTTCTGGGACTAGTCACCTCCTTTTCAGGATGTAAATAATGATGCCATCTGTTAAAGTCAAGGAAAACATCATGGATAGTCTTCTATTTTTTTTCTATCTCCTATTATTTATTTTATGGTTATTGTCTTATTTATTTAAAGAAGTGGTCTGTTTTTCACTTGGCTGTTATAGTAAATTTCCACCATTCTGGCGTTGTCATTGCGGAAATATTTATCCAGTTGGACTCATTTAAAAAAAAAATAAATTGAACCTGGCTACCCTCGAGTCCTTCAAAATCAAAATTCTTACTACTCAAAGTAGGATTCTTCTTTTATTCAACTTTGGTTTACCTTTTAGTCATTGATTTTATCAGACCGTCAAAAGTTACTGCCTTAAGTGCATGCCCATTTTTCTTCTGTACCCATACTTCTCCACTCAGCCATACTTCTCTCTTGGAGTATAAATGCCTACTTAAATCCTTTCTTCCCAGGCCTGACGTTATGTTTTGAAGACATTTGTTCTGTTGTTTGTAAGTCCTACCATATTTCCAGTCTTTTCCAGAAGTGCATCTTCCTCTTTACCTGTCCACACCAGGTACTTTTTTTTTTTTTTTTTTTTTTCAGTTCTAATCAGGTATACATGACAGTAGAAAGCTCTTCAATTCATTGTACAAAAATGGAGCAGAATTTTTCGCTTGTCTAGTGGTACATGAAGTAGAGTCACACCATTTGTGCAATCATACATGTACCTAGGGTAATGATGTCCATCTTATTCTATATATATATTTTTAGAGGCAGGGTCTTGCTTAGTTGCTGTGTAAGATTAAGATTACAGGCATAAACTTTATTATTATTACTTTTTTTGTGGTGCTGGGAATTGAAACCATGTCCTTATGTACTGTACCAACTGAGCTATATCCTCAGCCCACCATACCTGGCCTTTACCAGATGACTTGATTTTACTTTCTTGAAAGGTGCATGTGTTTTATGATGAAGGTGTGTTGGTTCATCAGTACATTATTGATGTGTATCAGGGTTTTGTGCTAAGTATTTTAGAGTGTAGGAGTATAGTTCCCATAATAACCCAAAGAAACTGGTACTTTTAATATTTTCATTTTCATATGAGGAGGATGAGACCTGGTTATGTTTAATATATAATTAATTAATTATTATTATTTTTTTAAGGAGAGAGAATTTTTTTAATATTTATTTTTTAGTTTTCGGTGGACACAACATCTTTATTTTTTTTAATTTTTATGTGGTGCTGAGGATCAAACCCAGTGCCCTGCGCATGCCAGGCGAGTGCGTTACCGCTTGAGCCACAGCCCCTATTATTCTTTTTTTTCAGCAGTGCTGTGGATGGAATCCAGAGTCTTGGGCATGCAAAGCTTGTACTTACCACTGAACTGTACCCTCCCCCTCTTAATTTTTAAATTAAGATACTGTTAGGATACCTAAGACCTTGCTTGTTGGAAGGATTCTCTGGTCTTATTTTTTTTTAAGTACTGGGATTAAACCCAGGGGCACTTTGCCACAGAGTTACTCCCCAGCCCTTTTTTAACTTTTTATTTTGAGGCAGGATTTGGCTAAGCTGCTTATGGCCTTGCTAACTTGCTGAGATTGGTCTTGAAGTTGGTGATTCTCCTGCCTCAGCCTCCCAAGTTGCTAGGATTACAGGCATGAGTCAAGGTGCCTGGCTCAGACCTTTCTTCTTAAATATTTTGTTAGTCTTGTTTTTTTCCCCCCACTTGTTTATTTCACCATCAAACTTATTTAAATAATAATTAATATCTGCTATTTGAGTTTTCTCACTATAATTATAATTATTTTAATTACTCTTAAAAAATACTCCTCCCCCCTCATATATCACAGGTTATTTTCTTGGTGTAAAATTTTTGAATAGTTAATAAAAGCAACCATACATGCCTTGATTTCCCTCATGAATCATTTACTTCGTAGAGACTGTCACTCTAAGAAGTTTGGTGCATTTCTTTTTCGACCCTTTATGTTTATATACGATATATAGTATGTGCATTTATAAATATTTGTTTTCAGATTAACTTTTACTCTTTTGTGTGGTGAGAACACTTAGCATGAAATTAACCTTTTAGACACATTTTAAAGTCTATAATGAAGTGTTGTTAACTATGGGTACTGTGTTATACAGCACATCTCTAGAATTCTTTTGTAAATGGAACCTGACACCCCATTGATCAGCATGCATCTCCATTTCACCTTCTCTCAGTTCCTGGAAAACACCATTCTGTTCATTGCTTTTATGAGTTTGGGTAATTTAGATACCTAATATAAGTAGAATAATCTAGTTTATGTCTTCTGTGACTAGTTTATTTCAGTGCATAGTGTCCTCAAGGTTCATCCACATTATTGAAATGATAAAATTTCTTTCTTTTTAAAGGCTGAATAGTATTCCTTTGTGTGTGTGTGTGTGTGTGTGTGTGTGTGTGTGTATGTGTGTGTGTGTTGCATATGCACATTACATTTTCTTTATTTATCTGTCATTGAAGATTTAAATAGTTTCCACATTTTGGGTACTGTGGATAATAGTAGTTCAGTGCACAAGGTAGTGCAGATATCTCTTTAAGATTCTGATTTCATTTTAAATAAATAGAAGTGACATTGCTGGAATCAAATGAATTACATTTTTAATTTTGGGGGGGTCCTCCCTGCAGCTTTACTATTTTGCATTCCCAGCAGTGGTGTACAAGAGTTCCAATTTCTCTACATCTTCATAAGCACCTCTTCTTTTTTTTTTAAATAATAATAATCTCAACAGGTATGAAATTACATCTCATTTGTGATTTTGTTCGATTTTCCTTTATGATTAGTGACATTGAACATCTTTTCATATACCTCTTCACATTTGTATGTCTTCTGTGGAGTGATGTCTATTAAGTATATAGCGCATTTTAAATATCAGGTCATTAGTTGTTTTTTTTTTTTACTATTAAGTTGTAGGAGTTTCTTTTATACTTTGGAAATTAATCCTTTATTAGATGTATGATCTGAAAATATTTTCTCACATTCCATATTTTGGATCTTTACTCTGTCGATTGCTTCCTTTGCTGTGCAGAACCTTTTAGTTTGATATAGTCCCACTTGTCTATTTTTACTTCTCTTTGTGATTTTGGTGTCAACCCATGAAATCTTTGCCAAGATCAATGTTATGAAAGTTTTCTTTGTATTTTTTTTTCTGTAAGTTTTACCATTTGAGGCCTCATTTAAGTCTTCAATCCATTTTGAGATAATTTTTGTATATGGAGTTAATTTTTGTTTATATTATAAAATAAGGTTGCACTTCCATTCTTTTGCTTATAGATATCCAGTTTTTTGATTTAGTGAAGGGACTACTGTTTCCAGATTCTTTATTCTTGACATCCTTATAGAAGATCATTTGACTTATTTGCATGGATACTTCATTATGTTCTGTTGGTCTACATGTCTATTTTTAAGTCAGTACTATACTGTTTAACTATAGTAGTGTGTTGAAATCAGGAAGCCTTCAGTTTTGTCCTTTTTTATCAAGATGGTTTGGCTAGTTGGAGTCTTTGGGGTTCTACATGACTTTTAGAATTTTTTTTTGGTAACTTCTTTTAAAAATGGGATTTTGATAGGAATTACATTGACTCTGTAGATTACTTTGGGCAGTGTGGACATTTTGCCAATAGTAATTCTTCCAACCCATGAATGTAGGATCCCATTTATTTGTATCATCTTTGATTTCTTTTAGTAATGTCTTCTGTTTTTTAGTATGCAAGTCTTTTAACTCATTGAGTTCATTTATAAGTACTCTATTATTTTTATGCTGTTGTAATTTAATTGTTTCACGTAGTTCATTTTTTTGTATAAATGAACTGATTCTTTTGTGTGTTCATTTTGTATTCTACCACTTTACTGAATTTGACTTTTTATGCACTAATGGTCGTTGTGAAAGCATTTAAAATGTTACTTTTGGGCTGGGGATGTGGCTCAAGCGGTAGCGCGTTCGCCTGGCATGCGTGCGGCCCGGGTTCGATCCTCAGCACCACATACCAGCAAAGATGTTGTGTCCACCGAGAACTAAAAAAAAAAAAAAAAAAAAAAAATGTTACTTTTATCCTAAACTATAAATTTCTGTTATTCTTTTATGAAACCATCAGTCTGTGCTGCAGAGTGTCTTTGAAAAAAAATTACCAGCTTCACCGAAGTAGAATTGAATACAATGTCAAATCAAAACTTCAGATTTAAATAGAGAAAACCTTTATTCAGAAGAAAGGCTTGAAATAGAGTGCTTTGATCTCAGAATTCTTCAAGGATCTCAAAATCAAACCTTTTTTTTTTTTTTTTTTTTTTTTTTTTTTAAGGGCAAGGATTAAACAGAATCTTTTAAGGGCAAACTTGAGAAGTGATTGGGAAATGACCAGTGAGGGTCTGATAGGAAGTTTCTGCTACAGTCAGCTCATTTCCAGGAAAATACGACAAGGGTGTATGTTATACCTCCTTCCCTCCCTCCCTTCCTTTCAAGGGGGAAGCAGAGTTTTGAGTTTTAGAGGAGAGAGAACTAAGTTTTGTCAAGGCAAAACAAAGGGGGAAGAAGTGGGCTGTTTTGTGGAGTTAGTCAACAATACTGTGCACATTTTAGAAGTATACAAGTTGATAAGTCTTGACACATTCATACATATTTGAAACTATCGCCACAATTATGAGCATGAACTTAACATCATCCTCAAAAGTTTATGTCTCTTGGTAATCACTTCTATGCACACCCATTTTTCTTAGGCAACCACTGTTCTTTCTGTCACTATGTATAAGTGTGTGTTTGCTAGAATTTTATATAAATGGAATGGCTTTTTTTTCTTTGTTTTGCTGCTTTTACTCAGCATAGTCTTTCTTGAGGTTTGATCATAGTATAGCTGTGCCAGTTCACTATTTTTTTTTTTTTGGTGTTTATTGCGGATGTATTGCAGTTTGCTTATGTATTCATCTGTTATTGGATATTTGAGCTGTTTCTAGTTTGAGACTATTATGAGAAAAGCTCATGTGTACAGTCACATAAAAGTCTTTATGTGAACTTAGGTTTTTATTTCTCTTATGTAGATAGCTAGAATGGAATGACTTGATCCTATGGTAGTTCTGTATTTTTCAAGAAACTTAAAAACTGCTATTCAAAGTGGTAGTGCCACTTTTCACTCCCATCAATGTGTGAGACAATGTGTTAAGAGTTTTAATTCTTTCWTATCTTAAATAGTAATTCATATGGGGTCTTTTTAATTTTTTAGTCATTCAGCTTGGTGGGAGGTGATGCCTTGTTAAAGTTTTAATTTGCATTTCCCTACTTTGCCCTTCCCTAATATGTTTTCAAGTTTTTTTTTTCCATTTGTGTTTCTTGGGGTGGCATGGTCTGTTTAGCTTTTTCTTCCATTTTAAAAATTAGTTTGCTAATTATTTTGAGAATACTTTATATATTTTGGCTATAAGTCCATTGTCATATATTTGATTTGCAAATATATTCTCTAGATTGTAGCTTGCCTTTGAGTAACTTAACAGTATCTTTTGAAGAACAGAACTGCTACATTGTGATGAAATCCATTTTATCATTTATGAGTTTTATGCTTTTATGGATTGTACTTTTTTTGCCTACTCCAAAGTTGCAGATATTTCCTCAAAGTAGTTTCATAGCTTTAGTTGTTACATCTTGGTCTATGACTTATTTATTTTGGCATGTTACAAGGCATAGATTACAGTTCATCTATTTTATATTTTTTATTGTGAGTTGGAAATGCTGATTATCCTGACTGGATCAGTATACATTGTATATATGTATGGAAATATCACATTGTATTCTATAAATATGTTCATTTATTATGTGTTAATTAAAAAGAAAAAATAAAAACATTTTAATTATGAAATGATTGTAATCTTACAGGAAATTGCAAAAATGGTACAGAGAGTCCCAGGTACTCCTCTGCCAGTCTCCCCCAATGGTGATATATTATAAGTCTATAGCAGAGTATAAAACCCAGGACACTGATCTTGCTACATTAACACAGAAGAGAAGGCAGACATATGGGTGGAAGGATGGGGTTAAGGGGAAAGAACTGTGGTAGCCCAAAGTGTGGTGAGAGAAGCCAAGTAAGATGTAGTTCAGTGGTAGAATATGTGTAAGCCCTGGGCTAAATCTCCAGCATTTAAAAAAAAAAAAAAAAAGAGTGCCCACTTAGGACAAAGAGCCACCTAAAAGAGAAGTCAGACCTTGAACATGAAGAGAATTATATTCATGGATTTCTTCTTCTTTGTGATCATTAAACCTATTCTTATAGAATGGATATTTGTGTRTTCCCAAAATTCATGTGGCAAAGCCATAACCACCAGTGTGCTATATGTGGTAAGGGGGTCTCTGAGGATATAATTAAGTTTAAATAGGGACTGAAGAATGGTCCCTGATTTCATTAGAGTTAGTGTCTTTAGAAGATACACTGGACATCTCACCTGCCTTCTCTCCGAGAAGGCAACAAGCACTGAGGAAAGTCCATGTGAGAACGCAGCAAGAAGGGAGTTGTCTGCAAGCCAGGGAGAGAGGTCCCACCAGAATCTGAATTTGTGAGAACCTTGATGTTCGTCTCCCACCCTCCAGAACTGTGAGAAAGCCAGTTTCTATCATTGAAGCCACTTTGTCTATGGTATTTTATTATGGTTGTCTGAGCAGACATAAGGCACGTACTCTAATATTTCAGTCTTTTCAAATCTATCGAGACCAAATTATTTGTATCTGAAGAGATACTGATAAATCTAATAGTTAGTGACTGTTTGTGGAGAGTAATTGCTATAGGCAGGATATAAGAAAAGAATTTTAGTAATGAATATTAATGTCAATAACTCATTTTTTAATTGACAGTCATTTTCTATTTGTAGGAATGTGAGTTGGACCCTTGTTGTGAAGGAAGTACATGTAAACTTAAATCATTTGCTGAATGTGCTTATGGTGACTGTTGTAAAGACTGCCGGGTAAGGAATTCCTCCCTGTTTGGAACAACAAAAATAAAAATAGAAAAAGAAAAATATGTATATATCAAAGTTTGTTTTCATGCTAGGTGTGGTGGTGTATACCCATACTACTGGCTACCCAGGAGGCTCAGATAGGAGGATTGCAAGTTAAGGCTAGCCTGGGCAACTTAGACCCTGTCTCAAAATAAAAAAATGAAAAGGAGTGTGGATGTAGCTCAGTGTTCAATCCCAAGTACCCTTCCTTACCCAGCCCAATCCCCCACAAAAATTCTGAGATATCTAGGGGAGGACTATTATTATATATATTATTATTATATGACTAGGAAATTCTATTTTGCCACTTATTTGCAATTTTAAGCATATTTCTTTCTGATAAATGTTCTATAGGGATTTTTTTTTCTAAGTAGAAACATTTTTTTCCATGATTTTAAAGTAATTTAGGCTTATTAGAAATAATTCAACAATACCAAAGTATATATAGGTAGTAGAAAATGAAAGACCATCATTTTATGTTCCTTTGGTTGCCATTTGTTGATAATTTGTTGTTAACTTAGTCACTTTTTTTCTGTACAAATGTGAGAGACAGGTATGTATGTGTTTGCATATAGTGGGTAAACACAGATATACATATTTTTATTATCCATTCTTTCCAATAAGATTATCATGGACTTTTACCCTTATATAGTTCTACATGGTTATATAATTAGAATTCCTTTAGTATGGCAACCATAATTTATCTAGTTAACTAATGGTGGACATTTAGTTTGCTTCTGGTTATTTCATATAAGAGAAATTATTGGACCAGAATATGCATATTAAAACTTTTGATAAATATTTTACATGTCTTCCACAAATGTGCCATTCTACACTTCTGTCAACAATGTTATCAAATACTTTTTTCTTTATGCTAATGTTGGTTTCTAGCAAGCACCATTTCCTAGTTAGGGCAGTAGGTGTAAAGTGTTCATATATTCTTATTTATTTGCATTTCTTTTCGTTATCATTAAAGTTATGTTTTTTATTTTCAATTTTTATGACATGAATTATCTGTTTAGTCTTTATTTTTCTATTGGGTTATTTAATCTTTTGTTGTTAAAACCGTTCATAGATTGTATAAATATGTTAACATACTGTGGTTTTCAAATTTGACTTATTTGTGGACATTATCCTGATATTACTATTTAATGTAAATCTTATTACCCTAGTTCCTTCCAGRAGGTTCTTTATGCCGAGGAAAAACCAATGAATGTGATGTTCCAGAGTATTGCAATGGTTCTTCTCAGTTCTGTCAGCCCGATGTTTTTATTCAGAATGGATTTCCTTGCCAGAATAACAAAGCCTATTGTTACAATGGCATGTGCCAATATTATGATGCGCAGTGTCAAGTCATCTTTGGTTCAAGTAAGATATTCATAATTGATTGACTTGATTTTTATTTATTTTTTGTTTTAGATTTCTTAAAAACAGAAATCAAACATTAATGATAAAGTTCTCATTTTTCCCTCTCCTATCATATCTCCCTTCTCACTTCTCCAGTGGCAATCATAATCATGAATTTTAATATGCTCAGATTCAATCGAAGCTTTTTGCTTTTGCTCTCATCTCTTCTCTTTATCTTTGTATATAAAATATATAAACATGAGCATATATTATATTGTTTTGTAGATTAAAATTTTTTTTTRCAGTGTTGGGCATTAACCCCAGGACCTCATATATGTCAGGCAAATGCTATACCATTGAGCTGTATTCCCAGAGTCTTGTTTTCTTTTTTAAGTTAGAGTGTTATAATTATACATAGTAGTTGAGCTCATTTTGACAAAGTCATACATACTTGAMATTTGTTTTACTCTATTTCAGTTCTTGTCCCCCCATCACTTTCCTTCCCTTTCTTTCTCCTCCTATTCTCCTTCTTTTACTGACCTTCCTTTGTTCATTTATTTAGTTATTTTCAATTGGTGCTTTTTACATATATATATATATAAAGGTAGAAAATATGTGTGTGTGTGTGTGTGTGTGTGTGTATATATATATATATATATATATATAAAGGTAGAATTTCCTGTAGTATATTTATGTATGCATATAGCATGATTTTGTTAAATTTATTCCAGATTTCTTCCCCTTTCCCATCTCCCTTCTTAATCTTCTTCTACTCCACTGATCTTTCCTATATCTTTAGGACCTCCTATACCCCTCTTTTTCCCTTATTTTTTTCTAGCTTCTGCCTATGAGAGAGAATATTCGATGTGATTTTCTGTAGACTCTCATTTTCTAGTTTTAATAAAAGCTTATGTACCTTGGCCTGATATTTGCATCACTCCCCAGAATTTTCTTGAGATTTGTCTACACTGATACATTTATATTGTAGTACATTAGAATATTTCATTAGGCTAAATGGTCCATGATTTAGTTATCCATGGACCATGATTTAGTTATCCATTTTCTTAGTGATGTATATTTACCATGTGTTTTAATTTTCCATGTTTTTTTCTTTTTAAAGTTCTCATTTTTTATCAGAGGTATACCACAGATCAGAGCTAAATGACTCTATAATGTTTGCTATAAAAATTAAAGTCTATTTCTACTCAGCATCCCCATCCTTTGAGATAACAGCTTTTATTTGTTTTAATTGATTTTTTTGGTGGTGGTTGTTACTTGCCCCAGTCTTTGCATAATCTCTTGGTAGTACTGCTTTTTTGATGTTTATGAAAGGTAAGAATTAGTTTTCATTCCTTTTCTTCTTTCATCCTTTGACAACTTTCATTATATCAGTGTTCATTTTCCATTCTCCATCCTTCCAATATAAATTAATTATTGTTTCAGATAAAGCAGTGTTGACTGTGTATTATACAGTAGCCATGTTGATGCCATTCACAAATGAATGTAGTAAGTTACAATTACTTTTCCACTTTTATATTCCCTAGATTGAGTGATTCTTTTTGGTTTCTGTTTCTGTCTCTTTCTGATTTGGCTAGCTTTCTATATACTTACCACTAATTGAACTGTAAATGATTAACCACTAGCCTGTGGTGATGTATGGAATACCACAATGGTGGATAAGGAATTCTGTAGCTCCACAGAAGGTAATTCTGGCAAAAACATTGTATGTAGGGACAGAAAATCCACATCCAAGCCAGGTGCAGTAGTGTACTACTGTTATCCCATTACTTGGAAACCCGAGACGGGAAGATCACAAGTTCAAGACCACCCTAGTCAACCTAGTGAGACCCTGTCTCAATGTAAAAAATAAAAAGGGCTAAGAATGTAGCTAAGTGGTGGAATACCTCCATATTTAATCCCCAGTACAGGGGAGAAAATATCTACTTGAAGAATCTCTATTCTAGTAAGAACAAAACACTGCCCCTTCCATTATAAAAACGGAATAGTGTAGTGTAATCACCCTGCCACCAGGTAGCTGGATGATTGCCCCTAGAAATGGTGCCACTTTGTGGACTCAGTGGTCTTAGCTTCCAGCAGATTGGGCACTTAGCACTGGCTGCATTCATATCAATCATTGAGTGGAGTTCATGTTTCTGATCCCATGAATGACCTCCAACCCTGCAACCTTGGTTATTTTATGAGATATTTGGATGATGAGAAGGAATGCTAGGGAAAGAGGCTGTGATCCATCCTATCTATTTGATTATTAAAACCATTGGCCACAGCCCATCACTTGGTTTGTAATCATGTTTCTGGCCATTTCTCCTTGCAAACAAAGTAAAAAACCAGGTGAATTTCAGGGATGTCCTGGAAAAGGACTGTAATGCCATACCTGTCCACTTTTGGGTTCTGCCTATTGTGCAGAACCATCTGCAAAAGAGGCCTTATTCTTCTCTTCCTGCCTCTGTCAACTCAGTGTAAAGAATTCCCCATGAGGGCATAGGTTCTGGCTAGGAGAGAGAATGCTGTGTACCAGGAGTAGGGACTATGGGTGTTGGGTCACTTGGGTCACTTCATGAGCCTTTGGTGCCTGCTTGGGTTCAGTCTTATATATACCACTTCCATTTCAGGGTGGAGTGTTGCCCAACTTTATAAGTTGGTTTGTCAGTTCTCACCCACTTCATAGTCACCAAGTTACCATTCAACTCAGTGACTACTTAAGGTTCAGTAATAGAACAAGGACCATTTCTCAAAAGGAGAGTAGTTAACCACAAAGGATAGCCGAATTTCACTCCAAAATCCTAAAGACTTGTGCTGCCATTCTCCTATAGGGAATTGGCAAAGGCTCCAAGTAGCATTTTTATCTGCCACTGAAACTTCAAGCACTGTTTTATCTGCCCAGTTGACAGAGAATCTTGCATGGCATCCTGGGCCTGTTGCAGAATATTCTGTTTGTGTCCCCAAGTTAGCAGGTTTTTAGGTCACTGGATAAATGGTGCAGAGTAATATCACCAAATGAGGAATACAGTCGTGTGTCACTTAATGAAAGGGATATATTCTGAGAAATGCATCGTTARGTGATTTCATCATTGTGTGGATATTATAGAAGTGTATTTATATAACCTAAGATGACTGTGAAATCACTAGGTGATAAATGGGACCATCGTTGTATATGTTGTCTGTTGTAGACTGAAGCATCATTATGTGGTGCATGACTGCATATTACCTTCAAATCCTAATGAGGATTGTTAAGTATTGTGCCCCTCTTTGGGTTATGGGAGTGATAAAAAACAATAACTTCTCTTTTAGAAAGAATATCTATTCCCCCCCCCCCCGCCCTTTTTTTTACTGGTGCATTATAATTATATATAATAGTGGGATTTGTTGTTGCAGATTTGTACATGAACATGACATAACAATAAAATGTGCTCAATATTGTTCCCTTTCTCTACCTTCTTCCTCATGATCCTTTTCCTCTAATATACTGGTCTACCTTCAATTTTCCTGAGATCTCTCTCTTTCCTTTTTCTTCTCTAGCTTTTACATATGAGAGAAAACATAATGATCCTTGACTTTCTGAGTTTGACCTATTTCCCTTAACATAATACTCTCATTATTCCATCCATTTTCCTACAGATGTCATAATTTCAGTGTTCTTTATGGCTGAATAGAACTCTATTATATGCCACATTTTCTTTATCCTTTCATCCATTGAGGTCACCTAGCCTTGTTCCATAGTTTGTTTTGAATTGTTCTGCTGTAAATATGGGGGTGCGTGTGTTGCTATAGTATGCTGACTTTAATTCTTTGGATAAATACTGAGGAGTGGTATAATTGGGTCATATGGTGGTTTCATGTCTAATCTTTTGAGGAACCTCGGTACTTATTTCCATCTTTCCAACACTGTAAAAGTGTTCTTTTCCCCCACATCCTCTCTAGCATTTATTATTGTTTGTATTTTCCATGGCTGCCATTTTAACTGGAATGAGATGAAATCTCAGTGTAGTTTTTATTTTCACTTCTCTAACTGCTAAAAATGTTGAACATTTTTGATATATTTATGGCCATTTGTTTTGTATTTCTTCTTTTGAGAAGTATCTGTTTAATTTATTTTCTAATTTATTAATTGGTTCCTTTTTTGGCAGTAAGTTTTGACTTCTKTATATTTTATCTATATTAATATTTTATATTAATCCTGTCATAAGAGTAGCTAGCAAAAATTTTCTTCCATTCTTTAGGCTCTCTCTTCACATTCTTGTTTCCTTTTCTGTGCAGAAGCTTTCTAATTTGATGCTATGCCATTTATTAATCCTTGAAATTATTTCCTGAGCTTTAGGAGTCATTGAGGATGTTGTTGCTTAAGCCTGTATGTTGGAATACTGACCCTTGTTTCTTTTTTTAAAAATATTTTTTATTAGTTGTTGTTGAATTTTTTTTTAACTTATTTATATGTAGTGCTGAGACTCAAACCTAGGGCGTTACACATGCTAGGCAAGCGCTCTACCGCTGAACCACAACCCCAGCACCCTCACCCTTGTTTCTTTTAGGAGTTGCATAGTCTCTGGTCTAATTCCTAGTTGGTGCATTTTGAGTTGACTTTTGTGCATGTTGAGAAATAGGGATCTACTCGTATTTTAGAAGAGATATTTTAACGTTTCTCATATGCTAGTAATGTCATTGAGGTAGAAGATTCCTGGATTTTCATCAGATTTATTTCTTATCCTTCATCATGTAGATCTTACCAATGTCTATAGTGTYTGCTACTTTTTTCTGACTAGTTTCAGTGAACATAATATTTTCATTGTAATAGAGTGGAGTGATATTATTTTGGAAGGGAAAGGCAATCATGGCCCTCAAAGTACATAATGACATAGGTCAGGCTGAAGAGTTGATATACTCCTGAAGTAAGATAGTGAAGGTTGTATTTCTGCCTTGACATCTGACAGCATCCTGCTTCTGGTAGGCCATGTAGATGGGCCTGAGAATTAAAGCATTTGTCAGTTCACAGTTGCAAGCCAGGT